TCCCCTAAGTGACGCACAGAGTGGGGGAACCCAGGGACGTATGCGCGCTAGGCAAGCGCTCGCCACTGAAATACAACCGAGTTCGGATTTTTTTTTTTTTTTTTTAGATAAGCTCTCTGTTACCCAGACTGGCCTTGAACTCCTGGGTTCAAGCAACCCACCTGCTTCAGCCTCCCCAATAGCTGGGACTGCAGACGGGTACCACCAACCCTGGCGGCACTGCTCCCTACTAAGGCCGAGGAGCTCAGCAGCTTCTAGGCTCCAGTGCCTGCCTCCACCCCGAGGGTACCGAGTTCCCACTTCCTAGCTGGTCCTTCTCACAATCCTTCACTTCCTCCCTGCGTGCTCAGCCTTCAAATCCCATCCTACTCCTCTCTGCAGATTTCTTACTCCTAGAGCAAAACAAAGGAGATTTGTGATATTAGAGGCTTGCTGTCACTCTGGACTTTAGACCTCGGAGGGACCAGCTAGTTTGGAGACTCACTCCAATATGACGTAACCCACCGACCTCACTTGCCAGGCTGGCTGCTTCCTGGAGCATACAAAGTAGTAGCTTACTCTTACCTCAGGACCTTTGCATGGGCTGCACCTGCCTGGGACATGGTTTCTCCAGATCCCCATGGCTCATTCATTCTCTTTACCCAGGCTTCTGCTCCAGTGTCACCTTATCAGTGAAGCCTCCTGGACCCTCTGTTCGAAGATGCCACCTCTACACTGGTAAGCCTATTTTCCTGCTTTGTTTTCTGCAGAACACACACCACTCTTGCCAGTTTATACAGGACTTTATTTGTTCACTGTTGGCTTCCTTGGGTAGAAAGGAAATCTCCTTAACAACAAGGTCTTGTGTGTGTCTGATTCCCACTGTCTCCAGTGCCAAGAACAGGGCCTGGCCCAGGTGATAATCACTGGGTGGGCAGATGGATGTGTGGGTGAGTGAATGGATGGGTGGATGGATGGATGTGTGAATGTGTGGATTGATGTGTGGATGGATGGATGGATGGATGGATGTGTGGATGTGTGGATGTGTGGATGGATGTGTGGATGGATAGATGGATGTGTGAACGTTTGGATGGATGGATGGATGGATGGATGGATGGATGGATGGATGAATGTATGGATGTGTGGATGGATGTGTGAATGAATGTGTGGATGGATGGGTGGATAGATGGATGGATGGATGGATGTGTGGATGTGTGGATGTACATGTGTATGGATGTGTGTATGGATGGATGGATGAATGGATGGATGGATGAATGGATGGATGGATGGATGGATGTGTGCGCATGGATGTATGGATGGATGTGTGGATGTGTGGATGGATGGGTGGATGGATGGATGTGTGTATGTGTGTATGTATGTATGTATGTATGTGTGTATGTATGTATGGGTGGATATGTGGATGGATGTATGGATGTATGGATGGATGTGTGAATGTGTGGCTGGCTGGCTGGTTGGATGGATGGATGCATGGATGGATGTATGGATGTGTGGATGGATGGGTGGATGGATGGATGTGTGGATGTGTGTATGCATATATGTATGTGTGTGTATATATGTATGGGTGGATGTGTGGATGGATGTATGGATGTATGGATGGATGTGTGAATGTGTGGATGGATGGATGGATGGACGGATGTGTGGATGGATGTGTGGATGGATGGGTGAATGGATGGATGGATGATGGATGTATGGATGTGTGGATGGATGGATGTATGGATGTGTGGATGGATGGATGTGTGGATGTGTGGATGGATGGATGGATAGATGTGAATGTGTGGATGGATGGGTGGATGGATTGATGGATGGACAGATGTATGGATGGATGGATGTGTCGATGGATGTGTGGATGTATGGATGTGTGGATGGATGTGTGTATGTATGTATGTATGGATGTGTGGATGGATGTGTAGGTGGATGGATGGATGTGTGGATGTATCGATGTGTGGATGTGTGTATGTATGTATGGATGGATGTGTGGATGGATGTGTGGATGTGTGGATGGATGGATGGATGGATGTGAATATGTGGATGGATGGATGGATGGATGGATGGATGGATGGACAGATGTATGGATGTGTGGATGGATGGATGTGTCAATGGATGTGTGGATGGATGGATGGATGGATGTGTGGATGTGTGGATGGATGGATGGATATGTGGATGTGTGTATGTATGGATGGATGGATGTGTGGATGGATGTGTGGATGGATGTGTGGATGTGTGGGTGGATGGATGGATGGATGTGAATATGTGGATGGATGAATGGATGGATGGATGGACAGATGTATGGATGTGTGGATGGATGGATGTGTCGATGGATGTGTGGATGGATGGGTGTGTGGATGGATGTGTGGATGTATATATGGATGGATGTGTGGATGTGTGGATGGATGGATGGATGGATGTGTGGATATGTGGATGGATGGATGGATGTGTGGATATGTGGATGGATGCATGGATGGATGTGTGGATGTATGTGTGTATGGATGGATGGATGGATGTGTGGATGTATATATGGATGGATGTGTAGATGGATGGATGGATGTGTGTGGATGGATGGATGGATGGATGGATGTGTGTGGATGGATGGATGGATGTGTGGATATGCAGATGGATGCATGGATGGATGCATGGATGGATGCGTGGATGGATGCGTGGATGGATGTGTGGATGGATGGATGGATGGATGGATGGATGTGTGGGTGTGTGGATGGATGGACGGATGTGTGGATATGTGGATGGATGCATGGATGGATGTGTGGATGGATGTGTGGATGGATGGATGGATGGGTGGGTGTGTGGATGTGTGGGTGGATGTGTGGGTGGATGTGTGGATGGATGGATGGATGTGTGGATGAATGTGTAGATGGATGGATGCGTGGATGGATGTGTGGATGGATGGATGCATGGATGGTGGATGAGTGGATATGTTATTTCCTCCCTCTTCCCTGGAAACAACTATGCAAAGGGGAAGGCCTATGAGGAAGAAACAAGGGAGACTGGAAAGCACTCCGATTCTGTTTGTGCTGTCCTCTCTTCCTTCTCCTTCCGCCCTTCCGCATCCCACGCGGGCACTCATGGCTCTGGGCCTCACACCCATCTCCTGGTTGTCATGTGCACCTATTTGCTTCCCCCGCACACCGCTCCTACGCACCAGGCGCAACGCGCTGCTCCAAAGAGAGACGGAATGAGCAGGCTCAGGAGGCACAGAGCTCCCAGCCGGGAGGGTCAGAGCACGCCCCTGCCTAGCTGGGGCCATTCACAGCTGTGAGAAAAGGAAGCCCAGCAGTGAGCAAACTCCTACGTACTCCTCACAACCCAGTGCAAAGGTCCCATCATGCATAAAGCCTATCTCTAGGAGATGGTGTCCTGCCCTCACCCCAGGGCCCCCCAGATCACACAGGACTGAAGCAACTTGTTCTGTGTCCTGGAGTTCACGAGCCCTCTGAGGCCAGACCCAGGTTCCCTGCATGGGCTGTGCAGAGGGTCGCCACGGAGGCGGGAGTGCAGAGATGAGCGCGGAGCACGCTCACCCTGTAGGAAACCGGCTCTGGCTGAGATGCACAGGAGGAGCAGGGCGCCCTCGGCTCTCTCCGCTTTCCCGCCAGCTACTGTCACGGCATCAGGGCCACCTTACCTCCCTGCCTGGGCGGGGACCTGTCAGCTCCCATGACTACTTCCTCCTGCCCTGGAAGCCAAAGAAGATGGCAGGCAAATGTAGGCAAATCCGAGATGGTCACAGAGGGCCCAGCAGGGCTGCAGAGGGCCGGGGGCCGCCTCCCGCTCACGAGTCCTGCGGGGGCGGTTCCCCGGCGCTGAGGATGGCTGTGCTCTGGAAGCGCCCTCAGAGACCCCGTGGCCCCTGTCTGAGGAGTGACTTCCCCTTGTCCCACCGCACGTGGCCCTCAGGCCAGAGAGGCTGTCATGCCCCCGCTGGCCGCTGCCTGCCATCCCCAGAGAGACCAACCGTGGTTCCTGGGGGGCCTCATCTGGAAGGGGAGCTGAAGGCCGAAGGGCACTGTCTCCTGAGCCCCAAGAGGCGGGGGGTTGTGTCCCCAGACTTTAGGACAAGATTGTGTCCCCGTGGGCCCCAAAGCAGACGCCAAGGCAGGGCTATGTCACAAGACCCCAGCACAAAGCCGTATGTCCTCAGAGCCCAGGCTCAGGCCCGGCAATGTCCCCTGCACCTCCAAGATGCACCTCCAGGATCCGGCTGTAGCTCCTCACGCCCCAGGGCAGGTGGGCATCAGTGCCCGCGCCTCTCCCACCCACCCAGCAGCCCCGGGGAAGCCAAGGAGACACCAGAGCCAGGGGCCCATGTTCCCACCCACCCCCAACCACATTCACGTGGAGATTTGAATAAGTTCCCTGAGGGCGCCCACCTCCCACCGGGGCCTCTGGCATCCCCGCAGAGAAAGTGTGGTTCTTCTGGGCTCCCAAACCCCAGGCCTACTCGGGAGCCCAGGGCAAGCCTGGCCTCAGTGCCCCTCCGGGATGGGTGCAGAGCGCAAGCCCAGCAGCCCGGAGCCGCAGCCCCCCGCTGGCACCCCACAGCCCCGGGCCCAGGCAGGAAGCCGAGGGGAAGGAAGATGCAGAGGAAGGAAGGGGCCCGGGGCTGGAGGAGGAGGAGGCCCCTCCCCCACAGCCAGAACCCGGGCTGCAGGAGGCAAAACCCCAGGCACTCTGCTGGCTGCCTACAGCCTGCTAGGTACCCCCAGGACCCCAAGACTGTCCCCATCGTCAGCCTGGGAGCTGCGAGGGTTAATCCTAGTTTGCAACTGAGAGCTATGAGCCCCGCCAGGAGACCTGTTACTGGGGGAGTCACCCCTGAATCGCTCAGCACAGCGGTGCCATCCCTGGGGCCGGCTCCAGTCCCGCTGATGCGGGTCCACCCGGTCCACCCCTCACGGCCTCGACGTCAACCCTGTTAACCCTTCCTCTGCCGCCCCCCTGACCCCCACATCGCGCCCCAGGCTGACGCGGGGCGGCGAGCACCTCACCTGGGACATCTGTGGACGCAGGTTGACCTCTCGCAGGTTGATGGCGTGAGGCAGGAGGTTGTTGAGCAGCTGACACAGGAGGACGCCATCGCGGAGGGCCTGCGCCAGCTCGCACACCTGAGCCCCCTCCCAGGTGACGCGGTGGCTGGGCGGCAGCACGCGGCACTGGATGAGCCAGTGGGTGCACTGTCGCCAGAGCTCCATGTCCGCCGTCGGCTTGGCCCGCCCGCCTGTGCACCCCGGCCGCCTCTACCACCCGCGCGCCCGCCCTCCCGCCTGGGAAGTGACAACTGGGCTACCACTTCCTCTTCTGTGCCTGTAACTGTCGCCCAGAAAGGCGGTGGAGGAGGAGGAGGAGCTGTGGGGTGCAGGGGAGCACCTGCAGCCCTGTGCCGCTCCGTGGCCTCCACGCGGGGCCGAGCCTCGCCCTCTTCGCGCTCAGCACAGCCCTGGGCACCCGGGAGCTGGGGACCAGAGGGCGACAGGCCAGCCAGACCTCGAGGCGACTCACTGCCTTGCTCCTCTGCAGCCCACCCAGAGTCCCCTCATTTGTCGCCTTCTCCTCTGCCTCCTCCAGCCTGGTCGGGACCCTGGTCATCCCTAGCCTGGCGCCCTGCCACCGGACCTGGTCCCTCAGTCTGTCCTCCCCGCAGCCGCCAGGGGGCGCCCGTGAGCACCTGAGTCTCTATGAACAGCCTCCCCGGGCTTCCACTTTCCTCCAGATAAACACCGGTCTTCTCTGAGGCCCCTCTCCGCATCCCCTCCTCCCTTTCTACCCCTCATTCCCTCTGCTCTAGACACCCAGGCCTTCTCTGCGCTCTTGTGCTGCGCCAGGTTTGATCCTACCCCAGGGCCTTAGCACAGGCTATGCCCTCCACCTTAGGCAACTTCATCGCCAACTCCCTCACCTCCTTTTTTTTTTTTGAGACAGGGTCCCTCTATGCAGTTCAGGCTGGCCTTGAGTTCACTTTGTAGCCCAGGCTGATGAACTGGCAACAATCCTGCCTCAGCCTCCCGAGTGCTGGGATTACAGGCATGCGCCACCACGCCCAGCTGTTCCCTCACCTGCTAACGACTTTGCTCAGCCATTCCTTTCTCACGAGGTCTTCCCAAACCTCCCCATTCCAAATCACAGCTTTCCCCCTTTCTTTCCCACCTTCTCTATACCCCTACATTAAACTCTGATTACCCAACAACAAAGCTGGTATTTATCATAACACGACCCTCTGTGTCTGTGGTTTCCACCTCCTTGGATTCAACCAGTCATAGATCAAAAATACTTAGAAAAAACTTGTGTCTGTATTGACTGTGTACAGATTACTGATTATATGCAGATGCTACACGGTTTTATACAAGGGACATGAGCGGCCACACAGTTTGGAATCCTCGGGGATCCTAGTACCAAGTACCAAGTATCTAATACCAAGTACTAGTACCTAGTACAAAGAGACTGAAGAATGACTACTTTTTTTTTTTTTTCAGTTCTGGGAATTGAACCCAGGACCTTTGCACTAAGCTACATTCCCAACCTGTCTTATATTGTGTTTTGAGGCAGGGTCTAAATCACTAAAGTTGCCCAGGCTGGCTTGGAACTTGTGATCCTCCTGCCTCAGCCTCCCACATCGCGGCTCTGCGGTGACAGGCAAGCAGCATCACACCAGGTCGGACTTTATCCTCTTTTTAGGAACTTGTGTCTGTGTTTCGTCTTCTGCTGACCCCTCCCCCACCCAGCCTTTGGCAGGCACATGGGCTCCATAAACATTTCTTGAACGAATAAATAAATGAAAGCTGCACTGATGCCACCTCTGGCACTGATCCCAACTCCATCCATTTTGGGTCACAGCCATGGCCACCACCCACATGCAAGTCACCATCCTCCTCCTCGACTGCGATGGTGCTATTCATTAATTCACTAACATTTACTGTCTTCCTAGCCCTTCACTAGGCGGCCTCTCCGCCAAGCGGTAAGTCGCCCCCGCCTCTGACCCAGCTTCCCATTGCAGTTTGTCTGACACCACCAGGAGGCGCTGGACCCCGGCACAGGACTGAAGACCGCCCTGACTACCGAATCTGGAGTCTCTTCCCTGTTGATAGAGGAAGGGGAAAGAGGTGGGGAACTCGGCCTGGAAACTCCGAGTTTCGCCATCCTAGAGTCACCCAAACTTTTCCATTCCCGAGTACCCTTGGCTTTCTGGCCTTCCATGTCCTCATCTCTGAAATGGGTACCGATTCGCCTCACTGCACACGGAATTAGCGTGCCGATCAGGGTGAACCCGGTCGCCCTGATGCATTCGAGGCAACAGGGAGCATTCGCGGCCGCGGGCTGAATTCCCACCTCCACCCGTCACAAGCCAGGTAAATGCGGGCAGATGGCTCGGCCCCTTGAGCTTCAGTTTCATTCGGAAAACGTGTGTGTGTGTGTGTGTGTGTGTGTGTGTGTGTGTGTGAACACAGTACCTACCTCCCCATTGGGTGGGTCAAGCGAGCAAAGCAGTCTTGGTATACAGTAATCGCTCAATAAAGTCTGTTCTGACCACTTATAATTCCTCCCACTTAGGAAGCCAACGTGTTTTCCCACATGTCTCTCCACAAAACCTACCAGGGCTCCTTTCCAGGAAACCCAGCTTGACCGTATAAGGAGGAAGTGTACCCTTTTCTACGTCACAGCCACCACCGCCCTCGGCCTCCCGCCCCCACCCGGAACCCTGGTCCGGGTGCTTAGGGCGAGCCCGGGTTGCGGCAGCCAAGCTGTTGAGTTGAAAATCATTGCAATCTCTCAAGGGGCAGAGAACACTAAGTGGGCGTGGCCAATTGAAGGGGGCGGAGCGGCGCTCTAACGGGGCGGAGCCATGACCGGCACAGAGCACGGAGTTCCCAAGGAGGCGGAGTCTATGAAGAAGACGAGTTCGAAAGGGGCGTGGTTAGCAACTCAGACTCGCTCCAAGGGGGCGGAGTGAGAACAGGCGCGGGATGAGAACCTCGGCGGGTCCAGTCGGGGGCGGAGTCTGGGTGGGCGTGGCCGGTGACCGGGCGTGGCTCCCAGGTGGGGCAGAGCCCGGCGGGGGCGCAGACAGAGTGGCCCGCGGAGCCGCAGATCCTCAAGCCTGTGCCTGTCCGCAGCCGCGCTGGAGCCCCGCGGGTCCGGCTCAGGTGAGTGAGGGGGCCCTACGCAGATCGAGGACCAGGGAATTATTGGGGTGGAGCCACAGGCTCGCAAAGAGGTTCTGAGGGTCCAGCATGCGGTAGAAGAGGTAACAAGCGCGAGTGAGTCACTGGGTCGCTGTAGGTCACGCGTGTCCCTCAGCCTGGGCGTACCTGGGCTCGCTCCTCTAAGTGCACTTCCTCTCCACAGAGAAATCCTCCCTGCTTCCTCTTTTGCCTGAGCGATCACAAATCAGTGCCCCTCCCTCACGTAAAATCTTTCCAACGTTTCCATTTCGTTGCACTGAGATTAAAATTCAGAGGGCACCAGTTCCTGCGTGGTCTGTGCCCTGCCGTCTCCCCAACTTCCTGCTCCACTCTTGTCTCCTGGCTAGTTGTAGCCGAGCCACATCAGCTCCCTGAGAATGTAAAGTGTAAAAAGCAAGCTCCACACCATGCGTAGTGGTGCACCTGTAATCCCAGCACGCTGGGAGGCTGAGGCCCTAGGTTCACAAATTCAGTCCCAGCCCAGGCAGATGCGGCTCAGTACAAAGGCCCTGGGTTCAGAGCCCAAGGCCAATAAAAGGAGAGAGAGAGAGAAAGAGACAGAGACAGAGAGACGGAGACACCGAGACTATCTCACCACCAGGCCTTTGCACTTGCTGTATCCCACATCCAGAGGATTCCTCCCATCTTTAAATCTCAGTTCCTGTTTCACCACCTCCTGAAAGAGACCTCCCTGCCCCCTGCAGCTGTCTCTATCCTGTCTTCCTGTTTTGTCATGGGCACTGATTATTCTCAGACGTTATCTTCTTCACTGACAGTGTATTTCTTCTCTCACCCATCAGTCTGGGAGCTCCGGAAGGCATGGGGCACGGTGTACAGCAGGCTCTCAATCAGTGTTTGCTCAGTGTCACATGTGAGACCCAGGACCTGGGGTCCACCTGTGTCCATGTTGCTCAGGTGATGGTGGCTGCCCCTTCACCCCTGCACCTGGGTGCACCTGTATAGGTGGAGCAGGAATAGTCTCCTCTCCCCCATCCCAATTTTCCCTAGCCCTTTTTCTTCTCCCTTCCTTTCTCCTCTGCCCAATCAACTATCCCAAAGGACTCAGAGGCAGGAGAATGATAAAGTTGGCGTGTGGCCGACCTGTGCCCCCTTGCACTCCCCACACAGACCAGAGCCTCTCAGCCATCCACCTCCAATCCCACTGACGAGCGGCTTGAGGCAGAGGAACTTGGGAGAGTCAAAGATGAGGCAGCAGGGCCTGGCCCAGCTGACAAACAGGAAGGGTGCAGGTATTCAGAACACACCTGGTTTCAGGTATGCAGCACCTGGAGCCAGCTCCCTGCCCAGCTGCCTGCCCCAAAAGCTGCCCAGGGCTGAACTGAGAACCTCCTGCCTCTACCTGGCCTCTAGCCTTCTGACTCAGGGAGCGGGAATCCTGGTGGCTGTTTACCTGCCAACCTCACCCCAAATTCACAAGACCTTGGCAGGTTGGGTGGGGGGAGAGAAAGAACCAGCTGCCTTCCCTCCCATCCAGTTTTGCCCTTAGACACTTGAGACATACGAGCCCTGGGGCTATGGGATGATTAGGAAATTACCAGCATGTCTGAGACCAACTTTGACCATAATAATAATGAAAGGGATGGAGTCTAAAATATGAGAAGAAACTGCAAACATAAAATTGCACATATATATAAAATTTGACTTTTTTTTTTTTTAAAAAAAGGATCTTTTGCAAAAGGGAAGGGGACTTGGCACACGCCTGTAATCCCAGCACTCAGGAGGCTGAGGCAGGAGGATCGTTGCAAGTTCAAGGCCAGCCTGGGCTACAAAGTGAGCTCAAGGCCAGCCTGAACTGCACAGGGAGACCCTGTCTCAAAAAGAAAAGTAAAACAAAGAAAAAAAAAAAAGGGAAGGGGACTGAGAGATGGAGGGGGTAAGGGGGAGGGAAAGGGGATTAAAAAAATTAAGATATGTGCTGTACATGTTCCAGCTTCCCGTAATGAATGTAATCATTATGTAGTAATAAAAATAAAAATTAAGAAAGTATAGTTCAATGCTAGAGCGCCTGCTGGAGCAATACACAAGGCCCTGAGTTCAATTCCCCAACACCATAAAAAACTGAAAAAGAATAAATGGCATCAGGTGTTGGTGTAATGGGTTAGATCTTTATATCCTGAAGTCCCTGCCTAGATTGCTAAGAAGCTGTGCATGTTTGTAAATTAAATTCCCCTCCTGGGAATGTTTTTTACCCAGAGAACCAAGTCTTTACTCATCAGCACCTTGCCTACCCACCCTGTGGAGAATTTCCCCTCCAACACGTGAACCTTCTCCACATCCACCTCAGTTGTTTTTCCACCTAGCACTCTGAGACATAATCCATCAGCCAGCTAGTGTTATCTCAGCCACCATCTCCACTACTAGAACGGGCTCCCTCTGGCTGGGCTCCAGGGCCCAGGGCAGCGCCTGGCACTGCTGCACCGCACGTGCCCATCAGTATAGGGCAGTGGCTTCGTGAGTCAAATGTCCACAAAGCATTGTGGTGTAATAGCACCTTCATTCATTTTTGCACGTCGTAAAGATAATGTTCCCTGCATGCGTACCATCCTCTCAGTTTCACAAGAATCCCACAGATGCACGACTATTCCCACAGAACCACTGGAATACTAGATCCAACAAGTCACCTGTATTTTATATATAAACAAGTTACTCATAGACAGATTTCACATATGCACTTATATGCAATAAGTATTTATATAACATGTATAACATCATACATAAATATAACACTATGTATTAAATATAATACTATATGTTGCAGGTAAGTTATATAAAACATATCACTATAATATGTAATAATATATCTATGTAAATGCAATAGATATAAAATATAAATATACATATATAGCATGGAAAAATACATACTACATACTCTATATAATGCATATATTGTGTATTATACATTACACATTATATATATTATACTACATAATATAACATATAGTATAATGTCTGCATAATACCTAATATAGTATGTAGATATAATACATAATATATGTATTGATAGAATCTCTATTATTTATAATTCATTTTTACATTATATAAACATATATATAAATATTGCTTATTTCTAAATAGAAATACACGAAATTTAAGTTACTCAAGCTAGATTTTATATATACTATGTATGTAATTTTTATTTGTATATATTTATGAATAATTTCATTTTATTCATTTGTACACAAAAGTGTATAACCTGAATGCTGGGGATGCAGCTCTGGTTGAGTGCATGGTAGCTGTGCACATGATTAGCATGCACAAGGCCCTGGGTTCAATCCCCAAGACATATACACACACACACACACACACACACACATTCATAAAATTTGGCTACAAGCAACCTGGTTAATTTAGAATAATACATGTCACATGTATTTACCTTCCATTTATTTACTTACCTCATCACACAGTCCCATTTGAAGGTGTGAATAGAATGTAGGCTGCCATGTCCAGAATAAGGAGGAGGGTGGAAGGAGCTGACCTGCCCACATAGGCAACAGGGCTAATTGCTCCCATTTTACAGATGTGGAAGATCAAGTCCTACTGAAAGTGTGCAGAGCCCAACCGAGGCACTCTGTGCCCCGAAGGGGCTCCATGCAAGTGCCACAGGATGGAGAAGACCTCGCCCACCAACCCTGGTACCACGGTGCCCTGTCGCGCCAGGTATGACCCTACCTGCCTCACCTGGCAGGGGCCTCTCTCACCGTGGGCCAGGAGACTCCTGGGTCGTGCCTGAGGGGCTCAGGGCCAGCGTCTGTTGGACAGGTGGCTGGGGCCCTGGGCACTGTTGGAGCTTGGTTGGCTGGCTGTTGTGAATTTCAGTGATGGCTTTCCCGAGTAGTATTGCTGAGATGGAGACTGAGGAGGCCCCAAGGCCCCCCAAGAATCCCCTGGTCTGCCTGTTTCTTCCTCTGAGCCCCATCTCTCTTCTGGCAACTCCCTCTCAGGCTCCCCAATCCCACTTCCAAATCCAGGGTCACATCCCCAGGAGTTCTGGGCCCCTGGCATCCGATTATATCATGGGAGGCAATATAACCTGGTGGTTCAAATCTCATGCCCTCCAGCCAGGTATTCTGGGTGCAAATCCCAGCCCCATGACTTACACACTATGTGACCTTAGGCAAGGCATTTGCCTTCCCTGAGCCTCGGTGTCCTGTCTTTGAAAGGGGCCAATAATTCCTCCCACAAGTCTTGTTATAAGGGTTCACTGAGTTCATACCTTTTATGCTGGTATGGCCCAGAGTAAAAGTGGTACTTTTTTTTTTTTTCCAGTACCAGGAATCGAACTCACGACCTTGAGCTTGCCAGGCAGGCACTGTGCCGCTGAGCTAAATCCCCAGCCCCTAAGGTGGTACATTTGCCACTGAACTTATTAATCAGTTCCCAGGCTTCATTTCCTGCTCTGCTTTGCCTCCATCTAAGGTCCTGGCCCTCCTACCCTGTTGTGACACGAGCCACCATAGCTGGCATAAGATTGCTTGCAAATTTTTATAAAGCGGGGACAGAGGGCCACACTTGCATAGCAAGCCCAGGTCATTCAGTCAATGTGGACATTGCGTTGGACAGCACTAGCTAGTGACTGTGACAGTCCCAAGACACCAACAGCTAAACACAGTCATCATTCATGAGCTCGTTCGTGTCTCCACCCAAGGGGGCTGAGGAATGGGGACAGGAACCTTCATAACTCAGTCAGGAGCCAAGTGCATCTTGACTTCACTATCCCATAGGGCTGTCAGGATGTCCAGCTGACAGAGCACAGAACTTGCAGGATTGTGCAGGGGAGTTTCATGGTCCAAGTGTGAGCATTGCCCACAGAATTCAGTCCTCATTCTATTGGCCAGATCTAGTCACATGATAGTGACTAACTGCAAGGAAGCCTGGGAAGTGTAGTCCAGATGGGTGACCACATGAAAATGGGAAATGGTTTGTTGCAAAACCACCCAGAATCTGCCTGCTGCGGGAGTTTCTGCCTGCTGGGGTGGGTTTTATTAGGGGTGGGTGTGGGTAGGAAGGAGTTGCCATTAGCAACCATATTTATCCCCAAATCCCTGCCACCTGTCCTTTATTCTCAGAAGGCTGAAGCTCTTCTTCTCCAAGATGGTGACTTCCTGGTTCGCACCTCTGGATCCCGTGGGGACCACCCTGTGATCTCATGCCGCTGGCGGGGGTCTGCTCTACATTTCGAGGTGTTCCGTGTGACCCTGCGTCCCCGACCGGGCCGGCCTGCGGCCCTCTTTCAGCTGGAGGATGAGAGATTCACAAGCATGCCGGCACTGGTGTACAGTTACGTGACTGGCCGGCGCCCACTGTCCCAAGCCACGGGGGCTGTGGCCTCCAGGCCAGTGGTCCGGCAGGGGCCTCTGCAGCGCAGCTTTAGCGAGGAAACCCTTCTGGGCAGCCCAGTTCGGACAGAGTCTTTCAGGTACTCACAGCCTCTCTACCTCTTTGATAGTACCCAGTGCCCTTGCATTTCTTCACTTCACGTTTGTGAGGGGCCGTCTGGGTACTGTTGGACAGCATGGCTGGCTCTGCCGTCCAGATGCCAGTAGAAACCCCACCCTTCCTTCCTGGCTAATTGTGACAGCTAAAAATGTCTCTGCACATTACAAGAGTCCCTTGGAGGTGAGTCACCTGGTTTGGTTGAGAGCCACAGGGACAGAGGAACTGGATGCAGGTTTTCCAGGCTTGGTGGGGGCGGCCCTTGCCAGGCTGGGTCAATAGTTCTTTCCCATGGTCCCTCAGGGCTAGGAAGTGGAGCAGCAGTCAGCCTGCAGACTTGGAGCATACAGGCCAGGCCACAGACACCCACTGCGGACCAGGTGAGCATCTCCTGGGGCAGCACATGGCTCAGAGACTGGCTCTGCTACTCACCAGTTACGTGATCTTGGGCCAGTAATTTAACTTGTTGGAGGTTCAACTTTTTCTTTGTTTTTTGTTGTTGTTCTTTGTTTTTTTGAGACAGGGTCTCACTATCTAGTGCAGGCTGGCCTTGAACTCACTATGTATCCCATGCTGAGCCCAAACTCACAGACAGCAACCCTCCTGCTTCAGCCTCCTGAGTGCTGGGATTACAGGTGTGCACCGCCACACCTGGTAGGCTCAATTTCTTGCTCAGCAAAATAGAGATGATGATACTCTCAGTACAGGTAGGAAGGCACTGAAAAATGTCTGTTTACAGTTGTTTCAAGACCCTCTGCCATATACCTTCCTGCCAGGGGTGTGGCTCAGCAGCACAAGCGCTTGCCTGGCAAGTGTGAAGTCCTGAGTTCAATTCCCCGTACCAAAGGAAAAAAAAAAAAAAACAACTGTTGGTGCCATATACCTTCCTCACTCTGTTCAGTCGCTGGAACCCCGCAGGCTTGTTCCTGCCTCACCACTGCGAAGAGCATTCCCATCCTCCTTTTTCTGAGTCCTCATCCAATGGGAGCTCCTCAAAGTATCTTACCTAAAGGAGGGCCCACCCCCGTGTCTCCTCTCCCATTTGCACTGCTCCTCGCCCCATTCAACTCAAATCCTCAGTGGGAGGCAGCCACTGCCTCAAAAGCGAGGATACGGCTGGGCGTGGTAGTGCTCTTCTGTAAAAATACATAAATAAAGTCTAGGAGCTATCAATGGGCAAGAAAGGCCAAGACCCCTAACTAAGGGTAGCCAACATTCTACTAGAGGGCAACAGACTGTGAACCATTAAAATAAGACTATTGTATGTGCTTTGGGATAAAAATTAAAAGTAGAAGAGAGTAAGGGTAATGGCTATTGTGAGAGGACCTTGACCCTTACTCAGAGTGAGCTGGGAACTTGGGGAGAGTTGAAATCCCCAGAACAAAGCCTATTTAAATGTTTGGTAAACAGTCTCCCAAAAGTCCTGGTACCTTTCGACAAAAATTTATGTTTTGGTGCTACAGGAGATCAAGCCCAAGGATACTCTACCACTGAGCTACATTTCCAGCCCTTTTTTACTATTATTATTTTGAGATAAGTCCTCACTAAGTTGACCACAAGGGACTCAAAATTGTGATCCTCCTGCCTCAGTGGCCCTGAATTCTGGGATTACCAGCCTGTGCCACCACTCCAAAATGTCTTGCTACCCTTTGAACTACTAATGACCCTAGAGGTATACATGCCACTGATTCACAAAAGGCATTATCTGTAAGGTTAATGAGTTCAGATTCTTTGACACCTCTGTAGTTTTGTGACTTTTCAGTAAGATATTTTAAATTTTAATCTCGTTCAGTCCATGTGCCCCATCTTCATAGAGGCAAAAACAAAGGCAACGGGTTCACATTTAAAATGAAGTATTCTGAATTCACCAAAACTAACCGCTCAGGATCGCTTTGGTTATTCTGGGGCTTTTCTGCTTTCATATAAATTTTAGGAGGTTTTTTTTTCCTAGTTTGGTGAATGTCTTAGTTACTTTTCTCATTGCTGGGACAAACTACCTGACACCCAAAGTTAGGGGGAAAAGTTTATTTTGGCTCGCAGTTTGTAGAGGTTTCAGTCCATAGCTGGCTGGCTCCAAGGCAGGGTGACTTGGCAGAGAACAAACAGCTCATGGCACACACAAAAAAGTCAGCAAAAGCAGACAAGACTCTTTCTGTCTCTTATATCATATGCAGACTACCCGCCCTAGGGCAGGAATAGCACTCACACCCTTAATCCCAGCCAGAGCTACGCCAAACCAATCAACGGACTGATTTACTAATCACACACCCTCAGTCCCAGCTTCACACACTGTAGATTCAGCCACCTCTGAAAAAGCCCTATGACCGCAGGAAGCTTTGGGGTTACAGCTACACACAAACCTTAACAGTAAGGAATGCTGTTGATGTTTTTATTGGGATTGCATTAAATGTATGCATCAGCTTTGGAAACATGGCCATTTTGATAATATTGTCCAGAACAGGAGGTGTCTTTCTACTTTTCTCATGTTTGCTATCTTTTTTCAGAGTAGCGTAGTTTTTGCTATGGAGGTGTTGCATTTCCTCACTTAGGTTAATTCCTAAGTATTTATAATTCTTTTGAGGCTACAGATTTTCTCAGTGGGATCAGTGTTGGCGTGCTCACCTTGAGACCATAATGCTAAGTGAAATAAATTAGACACAGACGGAGAAATATCGCATGATTTACTGTACATGAGAGCCCCAAAATATGAATAAAGAACAAAACAAAAGGTGGAGGACAGGAGACAGACCGAAACACTGTGCAGATGGGGGAGAATTTGAGGGAGGGGGAAAGACAGAGATGGGGAGAGGAAGAGGAAGTAAAAAGGATCAAAATGCGCTATGTGTACGAACCTCCGCAGGATAAATGTAGCTATTATGCACCACAAATATTAATTTAAAAAATTCACAAAACTACAGCATTGCTGACATTAGTTGCCAAGCTGGTAAGTGTGTAGCATTTATACTGAAGAAGCTGCTAAGGTTCAAAGCTGAGTGGAGACTGACGGGAGATTGACCCGTTTCTGGCCCATGATGGGTGGATAAGGGGGGCGTGGCAGCCGCCAACCTCCTAGCTGCAGAGGTGGAGGGCAAGGGTCTGGGGACAGTGGGGAGGTGGGTAATGCGAGGGTGACGGGCACCAACCCAGCTGTCTGTCCTTTGGGCACCCAGGAGCCTCCACTGGGCCCCTACCTGCCCTGCTCCGGATGGGCAGCGATCCCGTGTTGCTGAAGGCCCCAGCTCCCTTGGGAGCCACTGCGGACAGCCTCAGAGCCTCCGATGGGCAGCTTCACGCCAAGGCACCAACCAAGCCCCCCAGGGCTCCCTCACTGACATTTTCTGATGCCTCTGGACTCCCCACAACGTACTGTGAGCTGGTTCCCCGAGTGCCCAGCACCCAGGGAGCATCCCCTGGCCAAAGCTGTTCACAGCCGGAGGCCCCGTGGTGGGAGGATGAAGAGGAGGAAGCCGAGGAGGAGGACGGCTGTTTTGCAAGACCACAGGGCGAGGTCTCCTTTTGCCTTCCTGATAAACCCTCCTGCCTGCTGGGCCCCCAGAATCGGCCCCTGGACCCCAAAGTCCTGTGTACTCTCCGTGGCTTGTTCCTGGAGCACCATGCTGAGAGCACCGCCCTCCACCTGCTGCTGGTGGATTGCCAGGTGGGTCGCCCGCCGCGCCTCTCCTCCCCAGGGGATGGACTCTGGTCCCCTGACCTCCTTGTTGCCTCCCGCAGGCTGCAGGCCTCCTGGGAGTGACCAAGGCCCAGCGAGTGGCCATGGGGGTCCGCTCTGGCCTGGAGCTGCTCACCCTTCCCCAGGGGCACCGTCTGAGGTTGGACCTGCTGGAGAGGTGAGCCAGCAGCCTGGACCCGGGTTGGGTGGGGGTGGCGAGTGCCCGCACATCCCAGAGGTTGCAGACATCTCCCCGTTTCTGGCCGCCCGGGAGGGGAGGAAGGGGCCGGGCAGTGCCACCTCCTGTGCCCGTCACCCTCGCATTACCCACCTCCCCACTGTCCCCAGACCTTGCCCTCCACCTCTGCAGGCTGGAGACCCTGGCGCTGGCTGGGGCGCTGGCTGTCTTGGGGTGCGCGGGGCCGCTGGAGGAGCGCACGGCCGCACTGAGGGGCCTCGTGGAGCTGGCGCTGGCGCTGCGGCCCGGGGCGGCAGGGGACCTGGCCGGGCTGGCCGCGGTCATGGGCGCCCTGCTCCTGCCCCAGGTGCGTGGGGAACGGGGTGCGGGCGGGGCCGGCTGCAGAGGGGAGAGGAGGCAGGCTCGCATCTGTCCCCAGGTGTCGCGGTTGGAGTGCACGTGGCGCCAGTTCCGACGGAGCCACACAGAGGCTGCGCTGGCCTTCGAGCAGGAGCTGAAGCCACTGATGCGGGCCCTGGATGAGGGCTCAGGTGAGGGGAGGTCTGGGGTTTGCCAGCGGCTGGAGCCCCGGCACTGCAACTGGAATCTCGGCCCAGTGCCGGCCCCGCCCTCCCGCCCTGACCTTCTTAGGCCCCGCCTCGCGCCCGCTTCGGTCCCAAACTCCAGCTCGGCCCCCCTGGGGTGCTCCGCGCAGCTCCTCGGGTTCTGCCCCCAAGAGCTGACCCCGGCCTCCGCGGGAGGCCCCTCCCCGGCGCTCTGCCGCCTCCCGTTTCGGCCCTAGACTCCGCCCTCCCCTCCGCGGGCCTGGCCCCGCCCCGCTCTGCCCGAAGCCCCGCCTCGCCCTTGACCCCGCCTTCCGCCCGCTCCGCGCGGCCCCGCCCTTCCTTCCCGGCCCCGACGCGGTCCCGCCGGCCCTGCCCAGGCCCCTGCGAGCCCGGCGAGGTGGCGCTGCCGCACGTGGTCCCCGCGGTGCGCCTGCTGGAGGGCGAGGGCCCGGAGGGGCCGGAGGGGCCGCTGGAGGACAGCTGCGAGCGGCTGCTGCGCACCCTGCAGGGGGCGCGTCGGATGGCGCGCGACGCCCCGAAGTTCCGCCGGGCCGCTGCTCGGCGCCTGCGAGGTGAGGGTCCCGCCTGCAGCAGCGTCATGCGGCGGTCCCCGCATGGGCGCCTGGCTAAGCTTCTCTGGGACCCACTCAAATGGGGAAGCCACACCCCAGGGAGGGTTGCCCCCCACCCCCAAGCTCCGGCCCCAGTGAGCGTGGAGGGAAACGCTTTTATTCCAAAAGGGGCGGCCCCCCCCAGCCTCAGAGCCTCACCCACGGGCCCCACTTCCACCCTCCCACCTGGGGCGACCCCGCCCCCGGAGGATCCCAACCCCCAAGAATGCCCAGCTTCCTCCCAAATGACTCAACCCTTCAACTGGTGGGGGGGTGGGACGGGGACTGAGCCCAGCGCTCCGAGCCGCGGCCCAGCAGTCCAGGGGCAGCCCCGCCTTGCCTCCATCCTTTGCCCGAATCATGCCTGCCTTCCGGGTGATCTTTGCACTTTCTGCCTCTAAGGTGGCCCCTCCTACCCCCAGCTCCTCTCCCGGGCCACCTTGACCCCACATCCTGCCTCCAGGCACCGCTGCTGTGGGGCTCCCAGCATCCCGCACCTGGAACAGGCCACCCCCACGTGCCCCTGCTGAGGCTGCCACCACGTGAAGCCCTTGTCACCCCAGCCTCCTCCTGCCCCACCCAGTTGCCCCAGCACCCCGTAGCAGAGTCCCACTTGGCCCCTCCTGGGTCAAAGTCCCCAGGAAAAAGACCAGGGTAAGGAGCGGCCTGGGCTGCACCCCAGCCCACTGACCCTGTCTCCAGGATTCAGGCCTAACCCGGAGCTGAGGGAGGCGCTGAGCACCGGCTTCCTGCAGAGGCTGCTGTGGGGTAGACAGGGCGCCAGGGCACCGAGAACTGAGCGCCTCCAGAAGTTCGAGCACGTCCTCAGCATCCTGTCACAGCGCCTAGAGCCTGGCCACTAAGAAGGGCACAGATCCCTCTCCGCACCCACATGCCCCAGGCTGCCGGGGTCAACCCAGAGACCAGCACTCTGCGAGGCTGAGGCAGGAGGATCATAAATTGGAGCCCAGCCTGGGCAACTCAGAGACCCTGTCTCAAAATAAAAAGGGCTGGGGATGTAGCTCAGAGCGAAGGCCCCGTGTTCTATCCCTAGTACTGGGAAAAAAACCCAAAATGTGTCCCCTAAAACTGCACATAGATTCCAGGGATGGGGCTGCAGCATCCTCCTCCCTCCCACTAGAAGACTAACTCAGGTTTCATGGGAGGCCACCTCGAACATGTGCACACACAGCTAGGACACGCAAGTGTTCAGGTTTGTTTCTGCCTCTTAAAAGAGGTGTGACTTCCAGCAGATGCCTTCGCCTCTCCAACATGAAAGTGACACTATGCTTTCTGGGGACTGTCAGGGAGGGAAACCCAAGGATCATGGGTGGAGAATACCCGGCACACAGTAGGTAGTCAATAAGCCCTACCTGTTCTTAGAAGGCTGCTGTGCATACAGGAGGAATGTATCAGAGTCACAAACAAGCACCCTCAGAGTCAAAGCCAACTCCTCAAAAGGGTAGAGCTTGCCCCAGGTGTGCCCAAGGTCACCTCCCCTTCCTCAGGTAGTGTTAGAGGAGCTCACCCCAGTACCCCAGTACTGTATCTAAATCCCGAGAAGCCACAGAACTCCAGCAACTTTGTATAATTTTTTTTTTTATATATAAAACAAAACGGTCCAAGCCAAGCGGCAGGAAGAAAAGATCTGAAACATGAGTATGTACATCATGCTTGAAGGCACGGCCGGTCCATGAGGGGGTAGCAGGTGGGGTGGGAGGGGGCACAAGGTTACACAGGTCTCAGCTGAAGCCAAGGGGGGCAGAAATAAAGTGCATAAGTCCTGGGGCCCCCTGTGGCCCAGAAGCAGCAGCTGACAGCCCCCCACTTCCGCCTGGGCAGGGCTCAGTTGAGCGTGACCCGGAGGTAGGAGGTGGGCACGTAGCCCTCCCCTCCCTGTTTCCGCCGAACCCGGGTCCAGCCGTCGCCTTTGTCCTCCTCCATCAGACTGAGGTCTTCACCCTCGGCCATGGAGATGGTTCCCTCGCTGGACCCTGTTGTGGGGGACAAAGCCCAGGGCTCTGCTTTCTGTCCACTTCAACAGATCCTGGCCGGAGGCGTCCTCCAAGCAACAGATGTGCTGCCCCCCAGCCCACCCGGGGTGTCCTCACCTTCGAAGTGGTAGATGGCCACACACTGGCCTATGGGGGACGTGGGCTCCTCAAACTCTTCGTCAAACTCCGTGTAGATGGGGGTGTCCTGGCCCTCTTCTGAAGGGGGCTCTTCAGAGCTGCTTGGGCGGAAGACCGCATGTAGAAAGCAGCCTTCCTGGGTCCCCGAGGCCACCCCTGCCCTGGCCCCCCCGCTCACCTCTCCTTGTTCTCCTGTGACCCGCTGTTGCTGCTGCTGCTGTCTGGCGGGGCGCTGGCCGGGGGGTCAGGAGGCCGGGCGTGCCGGTTCAGGCTGTCCCCTCTGTTGCTCAAGACCCGACTCTCAGCCTCAGTCAGCCAAGCCTGGGGACAGCATCGAGACATCACTTCCGGGCCAGGCCCCCCGAGGTCCCCGGCTCTGGACCCGGAGACTTCCTGAGATCACCCATGCACACCCAAGGCCGTGATGAGAAACAGCTGGGTCTCCCCCGCCCCTCCCCGTCAGTCCCCCACCCGGCGTGACTCAGCCTCCGTCTCTCCCCGGGCCGCCCCTTACCTCATACTTCTGCACTTCCAGCTTCAGCCGCTCGATGTTTCGCAGGGTTTCTGTGATTTGGGGCTCCAAGCTGGCTGGGTCCCCCATCTGGGGTGTCTTCTCGTACACATCCTTCATCTTCTTTAAGGCTTCCCTGGGACAAGACAGAGACAGATAAAAAGCTCAGTCCCGTGTGATTTTGCAAGTGACAAGCAGGCTTTGCATCACAGAACAAGGGAAGACACTGGTGAAGAACTCAAACATGGGGCCCGGGGAAGTTGATGCATGCTTATAGTCCTAACACTCTGGCAGGCTGAGGCAGGAGAATCATAAATATGGGTACAGCCTGGGCAACTCAGAGAGACTCGATTTCAAAATTAAAAAGAAATTTTTTTTAAAGGGCTGGGGATGTAATTTGGTGCAAAGGTCCTGGGTTCCATCCCCAGTACTGTACAGGAAAAAAAAAGGAACTTAAATGTGGGAGCCAGGCCAGGCATGGTGGCGCACACATTTATTACCAGCACTTGGGAGGCTGAGGCAGGACGATCTCCAGTTCAAGGCCAGCCTGGGTTACATAGTGAATTCAAGGTCAGCTGGAACTACACAGGGAGACTCTGTCTCATAAAACTGATACCCCTCCCACAAAAAGGTGGTCCCAGCCACTCAGGACCCACTGCAGGAAGATTGCTTGAGTCCAGGAGTTCAAAGCCAGGCTGGGCAACATAATGAAACCCCCATCTTAAAAAAAGAAAAGAAAGAAAGGAAAAGCAGAAACAACTCCAAAATTAGGACTTAACTGGCTAGGTTTGATAGTAGTTGAGCATTTCTTAGCACTGTGAGCTTAGGTTATCAAATCCTTGCCTCAGTATTCTTATCTTGAAATTGGGGGTAATAGGATATGTATTTGTTTGCTGACAAAATTAGAGCAGTACTTGGTATATATTAAGTTCCACCCTCCCCAACCCCCCAGTATAGGGATTGAACCCAGGGGTGCTCTGCCATTGAGCTGCATCCCAGCCCTTTTTATATTTCAAGACAGGGTCATACTCACTTGCCCAGGCTGGCCTTGAACTTGTGATCCTTCTGCCTCAGCTTTCTGAGTACGTGGGATTACAGGTACATGCCACTGCACCCAGCCTAAGACCTATAGTGCAATACTTCACACACATACTGAGCTCCTACTGTGTAACAGGCACTATTCTAAGCATTAGAAATATAACTAAAAAGGAAAAAAAAGTATAAGACAGTGAGGCTCCTAACTCTGCTTACCATCTCTTAGGAAAAATTGGGAATGCTAGAGAATCCATGTGAAAGGGTTAGAACAGTGCCTGGAATACAGCAAGTGGTCAATGAACGCCATCTGTGATTACAACTGTTCTCGTGTCTGTCCATATGAACAGGTAGTAAGAGCTGTAAGAATAGACTTCTGGCTAGGTGTGCTGGTGTACGCCTGTAACCCCAGCTACTCAGGAGGCTGAGGCAGGAGGGGCACAAGTTTGAGACCAGCCTGGGCAACAACAGGACTGTCTCAAACTAAAACTTGAAAAGGGCTGGGGATGGAGCTTAGCAGAAGAGCTCTTGCTTAGTATGTACAAGGCCCTGGATTCCACTCCCAGCACTGAAAGAAAAAGAAAAAGAAGAAAAGAAAACTCTATGGAATATGCTAGACTTCAGCTCAACTGTCTTCTAGCTGTGCACTTGACCCATGGTACAGATAAACAAATGGAGGCATGAAAAGGTCAAGCAAGCTGCCCATGACTCCATGACAGCTAGAATCTGAGCCCTACCTCGGCTGGCTGCAGGCACAAACCTCCACCCGAAAAGCCCTGGAAGCAGACAGTTCTGGGTGGAACTTCGCACCCCTAAAAGCCATTTGGCTAAGAGATTCCACACAAATAGCAAAATAGAATTTGGCCGCCCGATAGCAAGTGGCAAACGTCAGCCCTATTATGTAACCGACTGGGAAGAGGATTTTTGTTGCTTGGAAAGAGTGAGTAGATTTTCTTTCTTTCTTTTTTTTAATCTGGCAGATTTTTTTTATCGTTAATATTTTGAGTGTTTCGGTTATTTTTTTTTTTTGGTTCTGGGAATCGAACTCAGGACCTTGCACTTGCCAGGCAGGCACTTAGGCCACTGAACTATATCCCTGACCCCAAGTGTTTCGGTTATTAAACAGATAACTATAGTTTTTTTTCCTTTAATCTAATTAAAGTGGTAAGTTAAACTGATAGGGTTTTTAAAAATATGTATATAGATAGATATTGAACCATCTTTGCATTATTGGGATAATATCCAAAAGTTAACTGTATTTGTTTTATGAATTTTTTGTATTTGGGGTTTTTTTTGTTGTTATTTGTTTGTTCATTTGATTTTTGCCTGTACTGGGATGAAACCCAGGACCTTCATCCAGAGTGACACCCCAGTCCTTATTTTTTCATTTTGAGACAGGGTCTCACTAAGTCACTAGGTTGGTTGCCCAGGTTGGGCTTAAATTTATGATCCTCCCGCCTCAGCCTCCTAGAGTGTTGGGATAACAGGCAGGTGCCACCACATCTAGTTCAAAAATTTTGTTGTTGTGGTGGTAAAATATACATAACATAAAATTGATCACTGTGGCCATTTTCTCAGTGTACAAGTCTGTGGCATAAATACCTTCACCCAACCATGGCCACCACATGATGAATTATTTTGGAAATACATCATTAGATCTGCTTGGCTAGCATTTTGTATCTAAGATCACAAATGAGGTAAAATGAGCCTGTAGTTTTATTTTCTGGAATTTCTTGTTCACTGATTGGAGATTTGAGGCTCCACCAGCCTCCTAAAGTGCTGGTAGCTTTTGCTCTTTACGTGTTTGCTGGAAGGACTTGTCTAAGACAGAAAGCAGCAGTTTCCTGAGTGTGGCGGGGACCACCCACAAAACCATCGGGGCCTGGGGTCTGCTGGGGGAGCTCTGAGTGCCGCTTGAGCATGTCTGAGCTCTCGGTTTCGTTCTGTCTCTGCAGTGCCGGGACTGGAACTCAGAGCCTGGTGCACGCCAGGCAAGCGCTCACCGCTCTCCTCCTCTCCTCCCTCTCTCTCCACCTCTTACCTCTGATCCACCTCCTTCTGGAGCTCACGATTCCGTTCTTCTAAGTGCTGCTGAAGCCGCTTTCTCTGCTGCTCCGGGGGCAGGTGGCTGAAATCTTCCGTCACCACCGCCTACAAGATAGAAGAGGACAGAATGGGGGTTCCGGCACTGTCCGCCCCTGGGAGACAGCGAACCCCCTTTCTCCTTGGCAGAGTTCTTGGAGTGAGGCCATGCATAAAGCAAAGCAGGACGGGGGCCCAGCCGGCCGCAGAAAGCGAGCCCAGGGTCCCACCACCCGGCCACTGGGCGTCTGTGACCGCCACCTCCTTCTGCTCCCCAGGCCCCACTTACCCCACGGCCGGCTCGGAAGCTGCGGAAGGACGCTAGCCGCGGTTTGACTGACTTACTGATCTCACTCAGTATGGCCAAGGGGTCGCGGCCGGAGCGTGGGGACGGGGGTCCGTTAGGCAATACCGAGGGCAGGGGACCCCCCAGGGGGGAGAGGGATGGGGGGCGCGGCTACCAGCGGGGGCCGGGTGGGTGGGGGTCAGAGATGGAGATGGGAAGGTGTAGAGAACGAGGATGATGGATGGATGGATGGATGGATGGACGTGAGGATGGACGGACGGACGCAGATAAAGGAAAAACAAAATGGAGAAAGAAAGAAAAAAACGGTAAGAAAATCACAACTCAAGATGTACAACCACACACAGAAAACGCATGCGAGAGCAACACAAAGCCTGGGAGGTGGCGGGCAGGACGGGGATTAGACTGTGAGCCCGGAGGGGCCGCCGCGTCCTGCCCGCACCCCTCTCGGCCCTTGAATCTCAGGTCCAGAGACAAGAAGGAGGCCCAGGTCTCCATCGGGATTTCCACTCACAGTCTAGCAGGTGGGGAGGCGCATGGGGAACCAAGGGTGCAGACACAGGCCGGAAGGAGAGAGGGGAGCAGGGCCCAAAGGCTGGGAGGAGCGGGTCACAGCGGGGGCGGCGAGGCCGGGGGCGGCGGGTGTATGTGGGAGGGCGGCGGAGTCTAAGTGGAGCGGGCCCACAAGACTAACCCAGAGGCAGGGGAACCCCAGGTGTCAGATGCACCCCGCATCAGAAGCCCCAAATCCCGAAACTAAACAAGGTAGAGGCCGGTGGCCCGGAGGCCCATTCCCAGGACAGAGAGGCTCGGGGGCTCCCCAGGGATGGACGCAGACGAGGGCCTCAGGCCAGCGCACAAGTCCTCGAGCTGGCCTTGTCTGCATCCCCAAAGCAGGAGACAGCCGCCACAGGCCCCGCCCAGCCCCCCGCGGCCTCCTGGGACTCCCAGGCCAATCGGCCTGCCGCCCGCCTTCCCTTCCCTCCAGCCTGGGCCAGCAGCCAAGAGGAAAATTCCTGCCCAGGACTCGGCGTTCCGGTGGCTGGGCTGACTCAGTGGGGGCCGCCGCTGTCCCCCCTGGCTGTCCTCCCCCCACCGCCACCCCCAGAGCACAGGTCCCCACCTTGTTCTTCTTGCCGAAGGGCCAACGCTTGGCACGGCTGCGGCCCGGGCCTCGGAGCTCGGGGCGGCCGTCGGAGGGGGTGCCCAGGCTGCTGTCTGAGGGGGCTCGGTTCATGGGCTGGCTGAAGTCTTCGAATTCCACGTCGCCCGGGCGGGCGAAGCCTGACTTGTGCAGCTCGATGAGGACCTGGGAGTCCTGGGGGAGGGGGCAGCGGGTGGACAGTCAGGGGGTCAGCTGGGAGCCCACTCCTTGGCCCACGGGACCCACACCGGGCACCCACGTTCTTGGCATCCACGGCATCCGCAGCCACCTTCATGCCCTCCAAGCACTTGGCGATGATGGGGACCACCTGCAGCTCGGCCTCCGACAGGAGCCCGTACCCAGCCCCTAAGTGGGTGGCCCGGCGTTCATCCATGTCCTGTAGTTTCTGCAGGGGCAGAGACGGGAGGCGTTCAGGGGGATTCCTGCCCCAAGCCCAGTCTGGCGTGGGAAGACACAGCGTCGAGTACAGAGATGCCAGACCGAACTGGGCTCACTGATACTATAGCTTTCTACTTCTCGTTCAGTGTAGGAATTGGGACCTGACAGCTAGAGTTTTGATGTATGTATAGGAGTTGGTTAACTTTTAGGGTTTTGTAAGAAGGTTGGCCTGGGAATTTGGGGCACTCACATCAAATATCTGGGGCATCTGTGAAAAGTAGAAGTGGGCCTGGTCCCGGTTAAAGCGCTGTAGCTGGGCTGCATACTCGTTCTTGCTTTCTTCTGCCATGTGACTCCGAAGGTGCGCTTGCTGCTTGGCCTGGGGAATCCCGAGGGGGAGGTGATGGACAGGTGCCATCAGCGTCCCGCTCTGGCCTCTCGAGCCTGCCCGAGCCCCCACACGCACCTTCTCCACATCAGCTTTGGTGGCATTGATGTCCTGGTCCAGCCGCTCGGCGGTCTGCGCTGCCTTCTCCGCCTCCCGGCAGTCTCGCTCAAATTTACGCTTGCTCTGCAGGGGAGATGGACCCCGGGGGAGCAACTGCTGTCCCCAAAATAGGGGAGCTGGGACACTGAGGTGCGTGGGGGCTGGTGGGAGGAGGCCACCCAGACACAGAGGGCAGTGGGGACATGGGCGCCCCTGGGGGGAGGGGCCAGCCAGAACAGGGCTCAGCCCTGTGGAGCAGCGAGTCCCCACTGCCGCCATCACCTCCGCTAACTCACATTCTCCAGCTGTTTGAAGCCGTTCTCCAGCTGCTGCTGGGCCCGCCGCCCTTCCTGGAAGTGCTGGGGGGAGAGCAGGGATGCAGCTCACCAGGGGTTCCTCCAGCAGGGTCCCCCGAAGCCCAGGTAGGGCGGACCCCTCACCATCTTCCTCTCCTGCTTCATCTCCTGGGAGTACTTGGCCAGCTCCAGACACACCCGGACGCTGAGGTTCTCGGCCACCAGCTCCCGCTGGCCAGCAAAATCATTCACCTCCTGCAGAAGCTGGACAAAGGATTGCTGCTGGCTGAACCTGGGCAGAGCAGGGTGAAGAAGGAGGGGGTCAGTGCCCCCCCAGGGGGCGGTGCCCAGACACCAGCTCCCGAGCCCGAGGCATTGATCCTCCAAGCCAGGTAAATTCTGGTCCCTGTCCTTTACCCCAGCCCTTGTGTTCGCATGCATGTCAGACCTTAGAATTGTCTTGGGCTTTAACAAGGAGGTGCACTCCTGATACCACGCATGCCTCACCCCAGGGAGGTGAGGAGCAGCACCCTGTAGCCAAATTATGCAGCAAGAGATATTCACTCAGTCACCCTTCCTATACACAGATGATCATATCCAGAAACCCCTAAGTATACTAAACTCTTCAACTGCTCAAGTTCCTTATTTACGAGACATACTATAAGCTGGTGTGGTGGCACACACCTGTAACACTGTCAGGGGCTGAGGCATAAATGTAAAGCCCAGCCCAGGCAACTTAGCAATATCCTGTCTCAAAAAGAAAAAACAGTCGGGTGTGGTGGCACACATTTGTAATCCCAGCACTAGGGAGGCTGAGGCAAGAGGATGCTTGCAAGTTCGAGGCTAGCCCGGGCTACAAAGTGAATTCCAGACCAGCCTGGGCTACAAAGTGAGTTCAAGGCCAGCCTGGACTGCATAGTGAGACCCTGTCTCAAAAAAGACAAACTTTTTTAAAAAAATAAAAAGGCATAGTATTTGCACACAACCTGCATACATCTCCCCCTGGACTTTAAATCACAATCTAAACGCTATGTACATAGTTGTCACACTATGGTTCAAGGGATGTCAAGAAAGAAGAAGTTCGTATAGGTTTGGTACAGGCACAATTTTTTTAAGTACGATATTTTTGATCTTTGGGTAGGAAGGGACAGCTGTATTCACTGTGACTGAGATAAAAGACTATAATTAATATAATTAACATCAAACCAGGCTGCTATCTAACAAGTGAACAAACCAAACAAGGAAGCAAGAAAGCAGCTTTTATGCGTAGAGATTTTTGGATTCTGGAAGAAAGTGAAATGCTCTGACAAGTTCTGTGGGGCTGGGCACTGTGCTTTCACACAGTAACTCAGTTTATCTTCCTGCAAGAGCTAGATGCTGGCTACCCCACTGTCAACCCCAATTCTCAGATAAGGAAAAAAGAGGCATGAAATGAGCCACTTGCCCCAAACCACTCATTTTGCAACACTGGAGCATCCCCACTTAATAGATGAGGAAAACAGGTGGAGAACCCAAACGTGGTGGTGCTCGACTGAAATCTCAACAGTCTGGGAGGCTGAGTCAGGAAGATCACAAATTCAAGGCCAGCCTGGGCAACTTAGTGAACGATTTGGCCAGACCCTGTCTCAAAAATGAAAACAAATTAAAAGGGCTGTGGAATGCAGCTCAGTAAATGCAAAGGCCTTGGATTTAATCTTCGAATTGGAAATCCCCCCCAAAACAATTGAAGAGGGAAACTGAGTCACATGACCAAAACCACTTTGTACAAGGGAGTTAATTTAGGGTTCAAATCAGGTCGTCTGGTTCTTGCACCCCGGTTCTTCTTACCGCCAGTGCCTGGAGGCACGTGACAGGCGCGAGGTGGGGTGGCCAGCAGGGCCCCTTGCAAACCAGCCCCCATCCCCTACCCTCCTCTTACTTGGACTCGGGGTCATCTTTGGTAGGTCTCTTGGGCAGGTATTTTTTCACGAGGCTCCTGAAGGGAGGTAGAGGCAGAAGGCTGAGCCGCGGCCCTTCTGCCACAGCCCCTGACCCCAGGCCGAATACACCCGGGGGTCTCACCGCAGCTGCTTCGCATAGGCCTGTTCGACCTCCGTGCGTTCTTTCACGAACTTCACGTATCTGTCCAACAGGTCCAGCCCCCACTGCGTATGGCGCTCGAGCACCTCGAACTGATCCTGACGGGGAGCATGGGGTGGGGAGGGCCCGGGTCACGACCTTCCCCGGAACCCCTGGCCCTACGGCTCAGGCCCCGGAGAGTGAGGCTCCCCGGGAGCGCGGAGCAGGCGTGGTTTCCCGGCGCCACAGCGGTAGGGCGCGGGAGGGGGGCAGGAAACTGGCGGGAACCCCCTCCCCTTCCCGGGATGGGCCCCAGCCGGACTCGGCAGGGCCTGGGTCTGCGGACGGCCAAGAAGGTTGTGGAATGGGGCACTCCTGCCTCAGCTGCCCTAATCCCCCCAGATTCCGGAAAATCCGGCCGGCCTGGCGTGAGTCAGGGCCAGAGGCGCAGGGATGGGGGGGTCGGGACGGCCGGGGGCAGATACCAAATTCCCTGATTTCTCCTGCTTTTTCATGCGTGACTCTGTTTCCCCCTACGCCTTCACTCCACCTCCTAGAGGTGGAGGGGCAACGACGATCTGGTGGCTGCGCGGCACCGGGAAACCAGGGACCCCACCGCCCCCACAGGGGAGGGGTCAGAGGTCGAGCTAGGATACAGGGAAAGTTCTGGGGCTTCCTGCGCAGGAGAGGCGACGGGGGGCAGCCCCACCTTGTGCCTGGGGCCAGCAGGGAGGCAGAGGTAGGGGCTGGGGCCGGGCCTGCAGACCCCACCCCGGAGCGCCCCTAGGTATAATCCCAGGAGACTGGAAGGCAATCAGGACTGGTCGCTCCCACGTGGGGACGAGGGTGGCCGGAGGGTCCCCTCCCCCTCCGCGCCGCCCAGGCGAGTGGCGGGCAGGGACCCAGGGGCAGTAAGCTAAGCCTGGCCCGGCCAGGGTGCTCAAAATAGGTGACCTCGCCCGGCTGCCCCGGCCTGGTCCCAAGACTTCTGGCCGCCCTCCCGTCCATGCTGTGCCTCAGTTTCCCCGTGTCCGTCTGGCAAGGTCTCTTGGCTCCAGGGCGTCCCGAGACTTTCGGGGAAACTCCGAGTAAAGGCAGAGGGCAGAGGGCGGGACCCAGGGGTCAACGCAGGGAAAAAAACGTGGAGCCCCAGCTAGAGCGCAGCGGGGACAAAGCGGGGGAGGTCGAGATCCCCGCCAGAGAGAAGTTGCAGGCGGGACGATCGGACTCACCCACAACTCGGTGCCCCAATCCATGTTGCTCCCGCCGCCGAGGCCGCCACCGCCGCCGCCGCGCCCGGTCCCCGCCGCCCTCCGCCGGGAGACTCGGCCCAGGGCGGCACGCCCGGCCCCGCCCCAATCCGCCCTGGGCACGCCCACTGGCCTCTCTGCCACGCCTCTCTGAGCTTTACCACGCCCCCAACCCGCCGCCCTGGGGGCGGGGCTACAGGAGGCGGTAATCAGATAACGCCCGCCCCCTCTTAAAGGAATATTGCTGCCCGACGCCACTGGACAGACCACTTAAACAACCCTCACCCATTTTCCAAGTTTCTGGTGCTATTCTCATCCTCTCATCCTCCTCTTCCTCTCTGGACTGTTCTTCATTTTTCCTTAACCTCTACAACCATTCCTTAAGGGGACAAGACGGTAAAGCTCCAAAGCCAAGTCCTTCCCCCACTCTGGGCAGAGAGAACCTGAGGTCACCTGGCTCTTGCGGGCCTACCCGGCTCCAGGCGTCTACGCTCGTCCCACTAATGGTCTGGTCTCTCCGGCCGCAGGGCGGATGGGAGACTTCGATCCAGCCGAGGACGTGCCTCCTCCAAGGCCGGGTCCATTAGCTCCCCCACCGCATCCTGCCTTCCCTTCCCCAGAGTCTCCACTGGGAAACGGAGAGTGAACTGTCCTTGGGGCGCCGGTCCCAGATCTTTCCCTGTTTAGTTCATGTTTGCGCCTGAACATTTTCTAGTCTCACGCAATAAGGACCAATCAACTGTAAAGATCCGCCTTTGCCTTGGGATTCCGGCGGCCCCTCCCCTTGATACCGGGGTGCTGGGGCTTGGAAGTCTGTCCTCTCCTATAAAAATCTGTTCGCACCTCGTAAATCCCCTTGCCTTGGGGCTCTGGGACAAGAGAGGAGAGATGTCTGTGCCTCCTCTGTCTTTGGCGGTTACTAAGGCCACAAGGCCCCCTAATGGGGCTGCGAAGGAATCTGGACCCCCTAGAGCAGGTCCCCTCTGCAGACGGAAGCTTGGGCGTCCATAGTGGAACTGCCCCACCTGCTGGCGGCATCTAGATTAGAAAGCCTCTGGCTGCAAAGTGGGGTTCGGTAGCTCCATCTGAGTTTGGGGTTCAGGTCAGCAAAATTCTGGGCTCAACTCTGGTCAGAGACTCAAACTGGATTTGGAGTTCAACCCAGGTCGGCACCATGGTTAAGGATGGGGTCCGGAGACTTAGCAGAAGGGTCAGCAATCCAGTTAGGAATCAGCGGTCACGCCTAATCCAGAGTTCGGGTTTCAGCCAGAGATTAGGGATCAGTACGCATGAGTGGTGGGGGTTGTCCGGGGTCGGTAGGGGCAGGAGGTCAGGTTTTCAGGCCTATGTAGGGGCTCAGGTGAAGAAGGGGTTTAGGCTTGGGGTCTGGGGGCGCCTCCAATTGCTTCACTTTGGGACCGTGGCTTTACCCTAAAGTTGTGACTCACCTTGGGGTCATAAGTCACCCTAGGGTCAAGATTTAACCTGGAGCCAGAGTTATGCCTCTCCGTGGACCAGGAAAATTAGGAGAAAGGGACAAGCCTCGACAGATGCTTGTGTTTACCAAAAGAGCCTGAGGTCTGGCTGAAAGCCTCGTCCCCAGGGTAAGAAGAGGAAGTCCTTCTCTAGGGATACTGGGAAATATAGTTCATTTGATGCCATGCGGAATGTGTCTGCTCCCGCTGAATTCTGGGTAATGTAGTTCTGGTCGGTTAAGAGCTGGGAGAAGAAATTCCGCTTTCCAGGCAGGACATCAGATTCATGATCATTGGTTAAATGGACTGCTTATCAAATTACATCCGGGACGATATTTCTAGTGATTGGTGTCAATGGAGGAGGGACTAATCAGTCTCAGCACTTCCATTCGGAGCTGCTTCTGTGCATCTAGCATCGTGTAAGCGCGGGTTTGCGAAAGTCTGTTCGATGATTGGTTTAGCTGGGTAGAAACGCCGCAGATCAGGGCTCTCCGTGTGGCGATTGGCTCAGGGGTAGGCGGGTTTAGGGGCGGCAGAGGCGGTGTCAGGGGAGGCGGCAGCTCCAGAGATGGCAGAGAGCGAGAGGAGGGGGCTCGGCTCTCCGAACCCCGCAGAGTGGGGGCAGCGGCTTCTTCTACTGCTGTTGGTGGGCGGCTGTTCGGGACGTATCCACCGGCTGGCGCTGACGGTGAGGTCCGCGCGCTGCGGTCTGGGGCAGAAGGTGTACCTTTGTCCGGGAGAAGCCCCCGGCGTGAAGTGATCTGGCCCGTCCTCCCCCTGCACCTTCCGCGGCGTGGAGCGGCCTGACGTCCCCCGCGTCCAGACCCGGAGTGGTCTGTCCCGGGGTCCTGCTCCCGGCTCGCGTTCCGAGCGCCTGGCGGGTCGCGCGGCGTCGGGCTGGTCCACCAGGGGCGGGGTTCCATCTCTCGGGACCCCCCTAAGCCTTCGGCCTTTTAAATTCTTGGGATCCATTTGGGAATGCCACGGGCCCTCGGCGCCATTCAGAAGGGACCCTGGAGGTCTCGCAAGAGTGGGATCTTCCGGGCATTCACTGGGATCTCGGCGGCTCAGCCGAAACCTTAGCACCCTGGGGGCCCAGGGGAATCTGAAAGTTCTCCCGGCGAAGGACTGGCCAATCGGGGAGAGTGACTGCTGTCGGGGTGCCATTCACCCCGCGAATGGCTTCTAGTTGCTCCAGAGTTTCATTTCCTGAAGTCAAAATCATAGCTGGACGCTCCGGGGCCACCTGTCCCTGCCCGGGACTGGTCTGGCGACAGCGCCTCGAGGGGCCCACTCGCCCCCTCTGCTCACGCTCTGCCCCAAACAAAGGGACCCCAGAGAGCTCTTGCGGGGACCGCGTGCCAGAGCCTTGGGGCTGGGCTGGTGGGAACAATCTGAGCCGCCTCCTGCCTCGTCTGCGGCAGGGGGAGCGGCGCGCGGACATCCAGCTCACCACCTTCGGCTTCTACACCAACGGGTCCCTGGAAGTGGAGCTGAGCCTCCTGCGGCCGAGTCCCCGGGAGCCAGAAGAGACGTCGCCGTTGGTGAGGGCCTTTGAGGAAGGCTGGGGCTGGATGCCTGTTTCACAGCCCGCCCCCCGCCCCGCCCCCTTCCAGATTCCCAGCCCAGCCCTGCCCCTCGCCCAGGTGACTTGGGCAGGTCCCAGCCCCTCTGAGCCTCAGTTTCTGCCTCTGAAACGTAGGAAAAGTGTCTCAGGTGAAAGGTGCTAGGCACTGTTCTTAACAGTTGGGAGAGGCTACCAATGACCAAGACAGCCCCAGTTCCCAAAGCCACAGTGGACAACCAGCATCTACTGACCGAAGCAGACCGGGTGCCCTGCCTGGCAGTCTCCACGGATCTGTGGCACCCCGGCAGGCAGCCTCTCAGGGAGCCTGTGGACATTCGCTGAATCCAGTTTCACAGGAACGGCCACAGACTGGGAATGGCTTTCTGAGAATTCCACAACCTGGAAATGGCAGGGCCTGGGTTCAAGTTCGGTGTGTTGAATTCCAGAGCACAGAGTGGAAAGACATCAAATTTTAAGTTGGGGAAGGGAGGCTGATGTATCAAAGGTCTCCGCGTGGAAGTGATGTCCACATTGAGTCCCATCGGGTGGGTGGAGAGAAAGGACTGGCTGTTGAAAAATTCAAAGACGGTGTGAGCAGAATGTAGTAGCTGCTCAGTAAGTGCAAGGCCAGATTTCTCTTGCTATGGGAGCGGGGGCTTATGGGCCTTTCTGCAGTCCCTTATGCCCTCCCCTTCTTTCTGCCCACCAGATGGGGTTCAGTCTGAGGCGAGCCCGGTTTGGCAGTGTCCCGGCCTACTCAGTGAGTGGGGAGTGAGGAAGCACTGTGGGGGTGGGGCTATCGGAGTGGGGCTGGGACCACCGTAACCCATGTGCCCACTGCCCGCTCCCAGGCCCAGGATTCCCATCAGTGTCCACTCCAAAGAACCAGCAGCAACTTCCTGGTCTTGTTCCTCATCAACACCAAAGCTCTGCAGTGAGTTGGGGCTGGGAGCCGTCTAAGGTCCACATTGAGCAGGGCGTGGTGGTGCACACCAGTCATCCCAGCACTCTGAGAGGCTGAGGCAGGAGGACTGCAAGTTCAAGCCCAGCCTGGGCAACTTAGTGACTTAGCAAGACTTTGTCTTAAAATAAAAGATTTTTAAAAAGGGCTAGGATATAGCTCAGTGCAAGGCCCTGGGCTCAATCCCCTATACTACAAAAAAAAAAAGAAAAAAGAAAAAAAAAAATCCATGTCCACATTCCTGGATGTGACACATACCTGTCCCCGAGCTATCAGGCAGAATAAGCTGGCTAAAAAGAACCCCGTAGAGAGAAAGCCACTAGCATTTTAGTGTCACCTTCAAGCCTTCTGCACGCTGGAAGGAGGGAAAGGGGTGGATACCCGCAGAATGTAGGAGGCGGTCCCTCAGAGCAGAAGACCCGGGTACGGAAGGGTGCTCCGTGGGTTAACGATGATATTCATACCTGTGGACGCGTCTTGCGCTCCATGCGGTGTCCTGAAAACTGCGATGGACGTGAACTCAGTTCTTTATACTGATTATCCCTGTTCTTCAGCTGCCAAAGCTGAGCCCCCAAACGGGTTCAGATGCAGGCAGCCTGGTGTCAGGGTCTCATGCTACTGTGCTACCTCTCTGCAGATGTGGTGTTTTCTCCTTCAGTAAGTACTTACTGGACACAGGGAGTAAAGGTCCCGGGAAACGACAAATAGTCCCCAGTGTCGGCAGCGAACGTGCATGGCCTCTTCCTTGCTGGGAGGTGGCCAGATCTGGAACTTGGTGACCACTGACTTGGCCCGATATTGGCCCCTCACTCTTACCTCAGGGTCCAGGTGCGGAAATATGGGGTGCAGGAAAAACTGTTCATTGCTCCTGGCCTCCGCTCCAAAATGCCTTCCACACCTGGGCTCCCAAAGGCAGCACACACGGTCACTCCTGAGGTGGACAGCGGTGAGTCCAGTGGGCAGGAGGGGAGGATGGGCAGGGATGCCCTGCATGTCTGTTTTTTTCTGTCATCGCTTGAGCTCTTAAAAGCATTCACCTGTCTCCCTCAGGAAACTCCACAGCTGCCAAAGCCAAGGCTCAACCTACCGGGTTTCAGGTTCGGGGACCTGGGGCGGGCGGGAGGAAGGTGTACCCCAGGGGTGTCCGTTCCCCAAGCCCAAGGTCAGCTGCTGGAAGGCTGTGTCCCCTCAGGGTCCCATTGAGAAGAACAAGGACCTGGTGTTGGACCTGGGCCACCTCAATGACTCCTACAACTTCAGTGTGAGTGTTGGTAGCACCCCTAGCCCCACCTCCTCTGTCAGAACTGGGCCCTGGGCTGAGACTCCTCCCTCCCTTGCCCAGTTCCACGTGGTGATTGGCTCCAGCGCTGAGGAAGGCCAGTACAGCCTCAACTTCTACAACTGCGACAACCTGAGGCCAGGCCGAGAACGCCCCTTCGACCTCACGGTGAGTGAACCAAGGGGCGCAGGCTCAGCGGGTGGGTATTCGCTGCTGCCCGGCCAGGCCTAGCCTCTCAGAACCCTCCCAGTGGCCATGATGGGAAGTGCAAACCAGGACCATCAGCTGCATGTATTTGCAGTATTCGAAGTATTCTCTCTCTCTTTCTCACACACACACACACACACACACACACACATACACACACAGAGATTATGTTGGTATCAAACATGTACAGGCTTCTTCTTGTCATTATTCTGTAAACAGGAAGTTACAGCAACTGTTTTCTTGGCCTTTACATTATATCAGATAGTTCAGTTTTTTTATATATACTGGGGATGAAACCCAGGCCCTTTGCACATCCCCAGCATTTTCTGGTTTTTAATTTTTTATTATTTTTTATTTTTTTTTGGTTTTTCTCCGGTACCAGGAACCGAACTCACGACCTTGCGCTTGCCAGGCAGGCGCTTTTGCCGCTGAGCTAAATCCCCAGCCCCTTTTCTGGTTTTTTAACATTGAGATTAGATCTTGCTAAGTTGCCCAGGTTAGCTCAAAACTATGGCCTTCCTGCCGCAGGTATTCTGAGTAATCTAAAGGTGATTTAAAAATCTACAGGAAGATGCACATCAGTTCTGTGCAAATACTTTGCCCTTTGACGTAAAGGTCATGAGAATGTCCCATTTTGGTATCTGCCCTGGAGCCATCCCCTAAGGATATCGAGGGTCAGCGAGTGTATACCCATGTGAAAGATGGGACAAATCAAGGCTTCAGGAGAGCTAGAGGCTCGAACTCAGCTCTCCAGGTGCGGGGCTGGGGCTGCATGGCTGTTGCTGCCCTGCCCCCAGGTGATGATCCAGGAGAAGAACCCGGAGGGCTTCCTGTCGGCCGAAGAAATTCCCCTTTTCAAGCTCTACCTGATCATGTCCGCCTGCTTCCTGGCCGCTGGCATCTTCTGGGTGAACATGCTGTGCAGGAGCAAGTAATGCCCTTGCCCCGCCCCGCTCCCTCCCTCCCTCCCTGTCTGCCTGCCCACCCACCGCTGAGCTCACCCCGCCTCACGTCCCACCCTCCCAGGTACAATGTCTCCAAGATCCACTGGCTCATGGCGGCCCCGCCGATCACTAAGAGCATCTCGCTCCTCTTCCACAGCGTGAGCGCCTCGGGCTGGGCAGCAAGAGGGGTTGGCCGGGAGCACCGAACGGTCGGGTCCACCCCTCCCTGCAGCCTGGGCCGGGAGTCCATGTGTCCCTGCACAGCCGGCCCTGCGTTTCTTCCATCTGCCATCCCTCTGTCCCGCTCACCGCCCCCCTCCAGGCTGCCTGTCCGCTGGGACTGACCGTTGCTGCGTCCCCTCCTTCACCCTGCTTGTAACCACCCGTTCATTCGGCTTCCCAGCCGCCTTCCCTCCGATGGCCCACGCTTCTAACTCCCACCATCCACGCCTGCCCCATCCACCCACCCACCCACTTGACCGTCTGTCCGTCTGCCTCCAGATCAACTACTACTTCATCAACGGCCAGGGCCACCCCATCGAAGGCCTCGCGGTCATGCACTACATCACGCACCTGTGAGTGTGCCCCTCTGCCGGCGGGCGGGGAAGGCTGGGCGCCCCGCCTCCTCACCAGACCCTCCCGGCGCCCCAGGCTGAAGGGCACGCTCCTCTTCATCACCATCGCCTTGATTGGCTCTGGCTGGGCCTTCTTCAAGTACGGCCTCTCTGACAAGGAGAAGAAGATTTTCGGGATCGTGATTCCCCTGCAGGTATGCCTAGGAGGACCCGGGGTAAGGCGGGGAGAGATGGGTACAGTTCAGGCGGCACCCGCCCACCCACTGCACCGCTTCCCAGGTCCTCGCCAACGTGGCCTACATCGTCATGGAGTCCCGAGAAAAGGGCGCGAGCGACTATGGGCTTTGGAAGGAAATCCTGTTCCTGGGGGACCTCATATGCTGCGGTGTCATCCTCTTCCCAGTGGTCTGGTGAGGGCCCTGCCCACGGCCGAGGCCGCGCTCACACCCAGGACACTGGGTTGGCCGTGCTGACCGCGCCCTGCGTCCCCTGCCTGCCCCAGGTCCATCCGGCATCTCCAGGACGGGTCCGGCACGGACGGGAAGGGTGAGGCCGCTCTGCACCCAGCCCCTTCCCGCGCCCGCGCTGCCCCTCCTGGCTCCGCCCACCCCGCTGGCCTCTCCTTCCCCCGGGACACCACAGCCAGCCCTTGGTCCTCCCTTCCCTCCCCTCTTTTTGCCACCCCCTGGCCTTTCCTCCAGACTTCCTGCCCCGGGACAGTCTGCCCTGTCCGCCGCCCCTCCCTCTCTCCCTCCCGGTGACTCCTGCCCCCTCTGTGCACCCCTCCTCAGTGGCAGTGAACCTGGCCAAGCTGAAGCTGTTCCGACACTACTATGTCATGGTAGGGCCCCCCACCGCGCTCGGCCCACGGCACCGCCCCGCCCCCGCCCCGTCCCCGCCCGGCACCGCCCCGCCCCCGCCCCGTGCCCCCGGCACCCCGGTGTCCTGGCCCCTCTGTCCGCAGGTCATCTTCTACATCTACTTCACACGCATCATCGCCATCCTGCTGCGCGTGGCCGTGCCCTTCCAGTGGCAGTGGCTGTGCCAGGTGAGCCGGCTGGGCAGGGTGGGCCAGACGCGGACGGGGAGCTCCTGACCTCCCGCCCCGCGCCTGTGCCCCGCAGCTCTTGGTGGAGGGCTCCACGCTGGCCTTCTTTGTGCTCACGGGCTACAAGTTCCAGCCTGCCAGGGACAGCCAGTACCTGCAGCTGCCCCCGGAGGACGAGGAGGACATACAGACGGAGCAAGTGTAAGGCCTGGGCCGGGCGGGGCGTGGCTGAGCGGCTGGTGCGGGCAGGGTGGGCGGGGCCGGTGGGGCTGCTCCTGGAGGGGCTGGGCCTGTTTTGAGCGCCCCGAGAGACTGCGGTCGAGACTGCGGTCGATGCGTGCGCCAGATCCCGGGCGGCGGCGGAGGTGCGGTGGGGCTGCTGCCCTCGCTGCTGCATCGCCTGCTCGCCGTGTGTCTACCCGAAGGATGACGGACGCTGGGTTCCGGGAGGGGCTCTGCAAAGTCCACAAGACAGCCAGCGGACAGGAGCAGCTGTGATTGCCGCCAGTTCCAGGACCCGCCGGCATCCGTCCGTCCGTCCGTCCGTCCGTCCGTCCGTCCTCTTCCCCACAGCCCTCCTCCCTCCCGCACCGGCCCAGCGCGAATGTGGGGAGGTGGCAGGGGCCTGTGTGGAAGAGCTGCCCGGCTTCCTGGCATCCGCCTTCGCAGGAAGAGCCCACCCAAAAGACAGTCGGACGCCCCCTCGGAGGCCCCAAGCCCTGGGCCCCGCTGTCCGGGCAGCGGAGCCACCCCACACTTGCAGCTGTGCAATAATAACCAATCTGTGTTTGCTGTCCGAGTTTCTTGCCTTTCTGGGTTGAGGTCCAGGGCAGAAGTTGTGTTTACAGTTTAGAAGTCTGTGTTCACGGGTGGGGTGCAGCGTCCACGCGTTACACATTCGATAAATACTGGTTGGGCAACCAGTGCCTGCTAGGCCCTCTGCCAGACATGGGGACAGAGCAGTGACCCAGGCGGCCCTGTCCTTGAGCCCTCACACCTGTGACGGGGTCTGCACAGGGCCCTAACCAGCCAGGAAGCTCAGGGAAGGGGAAGAGACTTGGAGAAGATTCACCCCCGCACGCCTGTCATCCCAGCACTCTAGGAGGCTGAGGCAGGAGGGTGGAAAGTTTAAGCCCAGCTTGGGCAACTTAGTGATTTAGCAAGACCCTGCCTTGAGGTAAAAAAGAAATTATAAAAACAGGACTAGGGATGTGGCTCAGAGCAAAGGGGCTTGGTAGGGGAAGGGAAAATTGTAACACAGATCCACAGGTGGCAGAGACTGTAGGGTGAACCGGCAGCTGACACAGAGGGTACTGCTGTGTGCCACACCCTGTGGGAGGTCTCCTGGGGCCTGTTAGAAAGCCTGTGAGGCACAGAGAGGCTAGGTAACTTGCCCAATCACACAGCTGGTGGGTTAGCAAGAGACTCGGCACTACATGCATTGCCCTTCTGCGACTAGATTCCCTGTGAGCAAACCTCCCATCTGTGTGATCCTGCGCCACTGGCTCAACCTCTGCTTCCTGGCATGTAAAATAGGGCCTCTTAGGTTGGTTGAGTTGTCCTCGTGACAGGTGTGACGGGAGATCAGGGACCCACCTGCAGGAGGACGGTGCTCAAGATCTCTCTCCTGTCTCCCAGGATACAAGGACCGCTCTGAGAAACAGTCCTTGGGAGGGACACAAGCATGGGGTAGGGAGCAGGGCTGGGGTGAAGGTTTTCTGTAAATAAGCAAACACAGCTGGGGCCCACGTGAATAAAAAGCCCAGCCAGATGGAGAAGGAAGTGGGGCCGCTGCGGGCTGTGGAGGAGGCCAGCAGAAGGCTGGAGGAGCTGGCAGAAGCCCTAAGGCAGATGTTCGGGGTTTTCCACTGAGCCCGTGGGAGCCTCCTGCAGAATCGCAGAATCGAAAGTGAGGAGGGACACAACCATGCAGAGCTAGGTTTCTCTCCGTGTGTGTGTGTGTGTGTGTGTGTGTGTGTGTGTGTGTGTGGCAGTAGGCAGAATCATGGTCTCCCCGCCCCCAAAGTTGCGCACACCCTGATCCCCAAGGCCTGCCGTGGGGAAAGTCAGTATGTAATGCAGTATGAGGACAAGATTAAGTGGAGGACCTTAAAGGAGACTGTCTTGGGTTATCTGGGTGATCCTCTTGCCTCAGCCTCCCAAATGCTGGCATTAACAGACGTGTGCCACATGTGTGCTGTTTTAAACCATCAGGTTTGCAAAGGATTTATTACAATGCAATGAGACCCAAACAGCCTGGGACAAACTGCAGCCTGAGGGCAAATCCTAGCTCTTACCACTGCAGGCAAGTGACAGTGGGGATGCTATAATGTGCCTTTTGCCTGTACAGTGGGGACTGTAATTTCTTCTACAGCCTGTGGAGTAAACAAGTTGAATACAAGAAGTCAACAAGAAGCTCCAGTGATTGCTGCCATTAGCATAAACCCGTGTCTTATTCAGGGGTCTCTCTCTGCGGGGGTTCAGTCCAGGAGCTACAGCAGATGCCTGAAGCCAGGCGCTTACCCAGCCCTACAGATACCATGTGCAGACCTCTGACAAAGTGTAAATTAGGACCTGTGAAAAGTTAACAAGGCCTAATCATACAACAGAGCAATTATAAGATGTGTTACATCCATGGACCAATGCACCAGGATGAATGTAATCATTACATACTGCAGATAGGTACTAATAAAAATAAAAAATAAAATAGGACAATTCTAACAATATACTATAGTTCTCTCAAGGTCCTTTCTCCTTTTTGCTTACAAGAAGCACTTTTGCACATCCAAGTCTCAGAATCACTATTTCTGGCAGCTGGGGACCATTGTTAAATAAAATAACAGTTATGTGAACACAAGGTCTCTGATTCCTCAATAGTTAATCTGATAAACAAGATAGCTACCAAATGATTAATGGGAGGGTAGCATCTACAAGGCAGATACACTGGACAAAGGAATGCTTCAAGTCTAGGGAGGGTTGGAGTGGGATATTGGGAGATTTTATCACACCACTCAGAATAGTGCACAATTTAAAACTTAAAAATGGCTTATTTTTGGAATTAAAAAAAATAAGTTTTCACCATATTATCCAGCCTGACTCAAGTGACCCTCCTGCCTCAGGCTCCTGAGTAGCTGGGAAAGAGGGCAGGAAAAAGGTGGTGCTGGGAGAAAGATTTGGTCAGCGTCTGGGCCCAGGAACAAGACAGGAGGATTTGAGGGGGGAATCGCTAAAGTCAAGCAAACGGGGAGAAGCAGCAGGTGTCCAAAAATTATAGTAAGGAAGTGCTCAGGGTGTGCCGGTGGAAGGGCCATGTGTTCTGTTTGCCTAGTGTGGCTAGATTCTCGCCCCAAACTAGAAAGGAGCTTCTGTGGCTGTGGATCTGCAGTCTAGAGAAGCAATAGAGGCTAGACAGGGGGCCAGGGTGGCCGGGGCGGAGGTGGGAGGGCTGCAGATCTGGACTCCAAACTCTTGCGTGTGTCCTCTGAGCGCGGGGTCCCCAGTGCCCACAGAGCGCGCGCAAACGAGCAATAGGGGAGACCGCTGTCACTGGGCTGCTGAGCCGCTCAGCCGGGTCAAGGCCACCTGACAGTTAATGAGTAACGGGGTGGGAGAAGGGGAATTTTCTCCAGGGAAATTCCAGGAAAGCGGAGTAACGGCATCCAGTCTGGTCCTAGAACTGCGGGGAGCAGGCGGCAGGGCGCCTCCTGGCTCCCAGGCCCAGATGCCCGGAGGTCGGGGAGAGTGGAGTATTTCAGGAGGCGACCAAACCCCGGCAGTGCGGGGTCGAGGTGCTGAGAACCTACCCTGAGATCATTCCCTCCCTTTCCTCCTCACGACTTTCACTTAGGGATGCCGGACAAAACACAGGATTTCTGGTTAAATTTGAATGCCACGGGGCTGGGGATTTAGCTCAACGCACAGCGCCTGCCTGGCAAGCGCGAGGTTGTGAGTTCGATTCCCGGTACCGGAAAAAAACCAAAACCAATAAATAAATAAATAAATTTGAATGCCAGGTAGATTGCCAGGCACACTTTCAGTACCTTGGGGGAAAGGCTCCAGGACCCCCACAGATACCAAAATTGACCTATATGTCTATCAGCAGATGAAATGGATAAAGAAAATGTGGTATTCACACACAGTGGAGTACTACTCTGCCATAAAGAAGAGTCATTTGAGTCATTTGTAGGAAAACAGATGCACCTTAAGACCATATTAAACGAAATAAATCAGACACATAAGCTTAAATATCACATGGTTTTTTTAAAATGAGAAACTGAAATTATAAATAAAGAGCAAAATAAAAGATAGATAATAGGAAATAAGGAGGGATCTTTCTCAAAGGGGAAGGTGATCAAGGGGTACAGGCAGGAGAAAGGAAGGGGAGGGAAAATGGATGGAAAAGGGAATTAAGATGTATTACTTACACGCACCAACGCCACACAGGGAGTTTAAGCATTATGTACTGCAAGCACGTACGAATAAAAAAAATTAAAAGAAAGAAAAAGGCATAGATATTTGCATAGAACCTACACACATTTTTTTCTTAGACTTTATAATACCCGCTACAGTGTGAATGTTATGTATGTAGTTGTTACATTGTGTTCTTTAGGGAATAATAACAAGAACAAAAAGCCTTGGGCTGGGCGTGGTGGCACACGCCTGTAATCCCAGCACTCGGGAGGCTGAGACAGGAGGATTGTTGCGAGCTCGAGGCCAGCCTGGACTACAAAGTGAGCTCAAGGCCAGCCTGAACTGCATAGTGAGACCCTGTCTCAAAAAGACAAAAAAAAAAAGAAAAAAAAAAAAAAAAAAAAGAAAAGAATAAAAAGCCTTTACCTGTGTAATAGAGGTGCTATTACCTTTCCTGAATATTTTCTACCGTGGTTGAATTCTACTGTGGTTGAATCCACAGACACAAGTGCAGAGGGTTGATTGTGCTTTTTGCTCTTGTCGTTTGTTTGCTACAGGAGCTTGAACCCAGGGTCTCTGTACTGAGCTACATCTGCAGCCTCTCCTTTCCACGGCCTCACCAAGTTGCCCAGGCTGAACTTGAACTTTCGCTCCTCCTACCCCAGTCTCCCGGAGTACCCGGATGGCAGGCCTATGCAGCCCCACCGACCCGTACCTTTCTAGCATAAGTGTGCTTTCTGTATCCCGTGTAGCATCAGGCCTGCCCTCTCTCTGACCTGAAGCTGGAATGCAGGCCGGGGTGGGTCTGTTAAGTGGAAATCCCCCCCCCCCCGCCACGTCCCAGCTCCCCCTCTGCTGGCTTATCTTGTCCACTATTCCAGTGCATCACTTCTGAATACAAATACACATGCCTCAGGGAAAGTCACAGGACTGAAGAAATTCCCGCTTCCCGCCTCCCCGCCTCCCAGCGCTCCGTGTCTCCAGTACCCTCGCCTTTGCCGTCTTCCTGAAGGTCATGGCAGAATGTGGACTGTTTCCAGTTAGGGGCCCAGCACTGTGAACACGACTGGCATCAACTGTCAAATTGATCGGATGATGTCAATCCCTCATTCTGTGAGCTTCTAGGCACCAGGGCGCCTCCCACTGTCACAAGTTTGTTGCAAGTCTGAGGCCATCCTGGGCTGCACAGTGAGTTTGAGTCAGGCCCGGAGTACACAGCGGGACCCTGTCTCAGAAAATAAGAAACAAAACAATACAAAAAATCAAAACAGTAAAGTGTGGCATTTATACACGGTGGAGTACTACTCTGGCATCAAGAAGGATACACTAGCGCCAGCCTCACCACGATCCCGTCGCGCGGGTTTGCATAGGTCGCGCAGGTGATTTAACCAAGTCCCCAGAAAGGAGGCAGCAAACCCTGTAGCAAGACAGAAGCCAAAGCCGGAGTTATTGTCACTCAACGAAGCCCTGGTGCTAGGGCATTCGTGAAAGCAGGAAGTGGGTTGCTGCGGGGAAGGGGTGAAGGGAAAAATAGAGGAAGTCATGGGGGGCAGCTGAGGGATTCAATTTCAAAAGCTGAACCTCAGTTTTGCAAATAAGCGAATGTTTTCTTCCTCCCTCCTCCTCCTCCTCCTCTTCCCGGGTGTCGCAATCACAGCAGCCGGGAGCCAGGTTTGTCCAATTCTCCAGCCTCCCCCTTCCCTGGCAGGGCCAGGAAAAAGGTGTGGTTTACAGGAAATCAGTGCAAAGCCCCATTAACCCCTCAGTGAGGGGCTAGAAGTCACCGCTCCGGGGATGGGGACCCTGCACCCCCACCCCCTTCCCGGTAGCCCTTCAGCTTCTGTTCTCGGAGCTCAGCGTGGCCGAGAGTCAGAGAGCAGCGAAAGCAAACAAGGCGGAGGTTCATTTTCACTGCTGGGCTTGGCCATGACATCAACAGCCACAACAATCCTACATTCTGCCAGGGGCCACCGGGGAAAATGGCAATAAACTTCCTGCAAGCCGGTGCGCATGGAAATCGATAGAAATCCTTTGGTGACCATCGCAATCCATCTTGCAGGGAGAAACCGAGGCCCGGAGTGGTCATCAGCAGCTCACCCAAAGATCACCGCTCTTAGGTGTCAGAGCCAGAAAAGCACCAGGCGGCACATGATTCCGGAAGTCTGCGTCCCCCAGCAAGGGGCTGGTTCCCCTCACACCATGCAGCAGGCGGTGGTGGCGGGTGAGAATGAGGAAGCGCTGTGTGCACGGGCGGGAATCATCTCTAAGGTAATTACCGCTCGTGGCAAAGCAAGGTGCAGGTCGGGGAAGGCTGAAAGACAGATATGTGGGTTTATTAGTGCTTGTCAGGAAAACGTGTGCTCTGCCCACAGGGGTACAGGGGAGACGACTTCTTTCTCTACAACCATTTGCACCTTTTAGGTGTTGGATTGTGTGAGTCTGTTAGCTACCTGCACACGCACAACTTAAATAATACAACTTAGAGCAATAATAGCTCAAGAAAATGTGGAAGTAAGATAGGTACAAAAGCTAGAACTGAGACTTTCCTCACTGATGACTTTTTTTTAACCACCAGGTATCCTGACAAGGGTAGCTGAAGGAAGCTCCAGGCTCCCCTATCCCTAAAAAGCAAGTACATCTGGATGGTGAACTCCTGTACATACTTGAAAGCCCCGCTGAAATGCCCCTTCCTCCACAAAGCCTTCTCTGATTCCTCTAGATGCAGATTTTGTCTGCTCCACTGGGGTAAACATTCAATGAGGCTGGCAATGCCTGTGCCAGGTTTGTCCCTCCCACCTGCCCCTCCTCTCTCAGCATGGAGGCCTCTGGAAGGACAGTTTTAGCTCCCTGCATAACGTGGACTCACAGGAAAAAATAATACATGCATGAGATGGGCACAGTGGCATACACATGTAGTCCCAGCTACAAGAGAGGCTGAGTCAGGAGGATTGATTGAACCCAGGAGTTTGGGGCCAACATGGGCAACACAGCAAGACCTTCTTCTCTTAAAAATAAAATAAAATAAATCAAACACCTGTAATCCAACCCTGGGAGGCTGAGGCAGGAAGCTCCCAAGATCCATCCCAGGCTGGGCAACTTTGTGACTTAGCAAGACTGTCTCAAAAATTAAAATTTAAAAAAAAAAATAGAATGAGGTGGGGGCAGGAGATGTAGCTCAGTGCTAAGGCCCTGGCTTCAACCCCAAGGATTGCCAAAATAAATAAATAAATAAAAGTTAAATACATGGCCAAAAGGGGGCTGGGGATGAGGCCCCAGGTCTATGGCAAAGAAGGCTCTCTGCGCCCTCAGGTTCCCCCACGACAGACTGGGTGTGTGGAGGAGGAACAGTCCCTTTCCCCAGCCAGCCCTGACCCTGTGAAGCCGGGGCAGGGGCAGCCACGTTGTGTTGGGAGGGAGTGTGCCCTCAGATTCCTCGCCCCACAAACTGTTGGCTGCAGGGCTTGAAAATTTAGGAAACAGGATTGAGAAATCTGGGGCAGACCCAGAGAGGGAGGAGGCCAGGGGAGAAGGGAGGGCTGGGGGCGGGGCACACAGAACCAGATAAGAGACAGCCTTTGGCAGCCCGGGGTCACTCCAGCCGTCCTCTCCCTCCTGACCTCCGCTCTCCTGCACAATGGGACCTGCCTCGGGTCCCCGCCTGCTGCTGCTGCTGCTGGCCAGCCTCCCGCTGGCCCTGGGGGACCCCATGTGAGTAGCCAGCTTCTGTGGGGGGAACAGACATTTGTAGATGCAGGTCTTTGGGGAATTCAAAGGGCACCTGGGCACGCAGGGCCCGCGGGATGGATGTTAAGGAATGTGGCCGCCTGTGGTTTGGGGTGTTTATGAGCTAAGTGTTGGTGGAACCCAGGGATTGTGGGATTGAGGTTTGCATGTTTGCAAGATTGAGGGTCTGTAGATTTGGGGTGTAACTGTGTGGTTGGGGTGATGTGGAAGCTTAGACTTGCAAGCTTTGGGAGTTTGCAGTTTGGGGGCTGCTGGATTTAAGTATCCATCCGGTAATGAATTTTAGTATTTTGAGGGACTTAGAGATTGGCATTTTGGGTTGGTGTTGTGTCAGGGGTGTGTGCACTTTGGTTGTATTTATAGGGCTGGAAGGAGGGTTAGCTTTGGGGTGTTCTAGCATTTGCCTTAGGATTCGGGGTTTCAAAGTTTGCATGTATGTAGGTTGGGTATGTATAGTTTGGAATGTCTGAGGGTTAGGGTGTTGATAGATTTGGGAGTGTTTAAAAATGTAGTGGTGCTGGGTGTGGTGGTGCATGCCTATAATCGCAGCACTCAGGAGGCTGAGGCAGGAGGATCATCATGAGTTTGAGGCCAGCCTGGGCTACATAAGTGAGTTCAAGGCCAGCCTGCTGTATTACATAGTGAGACCTGTCTCAACAAAACAAAACAAAACAAAACAAAACAAAACAATGCAATGGTTTAGAATTTGCGGTTCGGGCTACTGTGAACTTGGAAAAGTTAACGGTTTTGGTTTTCAGGATAGGGGGTTGGTGAGACCCGCAGGCTTCCAAAGGCCGGGTGCGCTGGCCGGAGTGGGGTGGTTGTGGTGGCTGCTGCCCTGCCTTGGGGACGTAGCGGTGGCCCTGGCCAGAGAGGAGTGCAGACCCAGGAGTTGGTCTGCCAAGTGCCCCAGGCTCTGTTACTGGATACCCTCCAAGCCAGGTGCTGGGTAAAGTCCTGGGAACAGAGGTGTAGCCAGGCACGGGCGCTGACCGCGTGAGGGCCGAGCCTCTGTCCCTGGGCTGAGCCCCGAGCCCGCGCGCCGCTCTGCCAGGTACTCGATCATCACCCCCAACATCCTGCGGCTGGAGAACGAGGAGACCATAGTGCTAGAGGCCCACGAAGCGCAAGGCGACATCCCAGTCACAGTCACTGTGCACGACTTCCCGGCCAAGAAGAATGTGCTGTGCAGTGAGAAGACCGTGCTGACCAGCGCCAGGGGACATCTGGGCACTGTCACCATCAAGGTGGGCACAGAGCTGCACGTCCTTGTGCCTTGCCCCTGCGAGTCCCTCTGACCCCTCCCACCAAGCCTCTTCCTCTTCAGCGTCTCCAGAAGCTTCTGAACCTCTCCCCACCCTCTAAGTTCCCGCCCCCTGCTAAGTTCCACTCCCTCCACGTCTCTGCCTCTTCTAAGCCCCCCCCGACTCTCCACCCCTTTAAGCCCCACCCCTCTGAGTCTCCACCCCTTTAAACCACCATGGGAGTCTCCACCCCTTTACGTCCCTCCCCCTCAGTCTCCACCCCCTTTAAGCCCCACCCCCACAGTCTCCACCCCTTTACGTCTCTCCCCTCTCGGAGTCTCCACCCCTTCTAAGCTCCTCCCTCTCAAGTCTCCACCCCCTTTAAACCCCACCCCTCTGAGTCTCCACCCTTTCTAAACCACGCCCCCTTTGAAGTCTCCACTCGTTCTGAGCCCTCCCCCCAGCTCCCTGAGCCCCTTTTCAAGCCCCTCCTCTCTCAGCCTCTATCCTGCCAGAAAACCCTCCCTCTTTGAGCGTCCTCCCCCTTCAGAGCCCACCCTCTCTGCGGCCCTCTGATCCTTCTTGCTCGCCCTGGGGTGCCCTACCCTCCCCAAACTGGGCTAACCAGGAAAGCAGAGCGATGGGCAGTCTCTGTCCTGAGAAGAGCAGGAGAGGCACTGACCAGAGGCCCAGAGCCTCGACGTCGTGTGTGGTCCCTGAGCAGACCCCTGACCACCACCCCCTGGCCCCTGCCTAGATCCCGGCCAGCAAGGAGTTCAAGTCGGATAAGGGGCGCAAGTTAGTGATCGTGCAGGCGGCCTTTGGGGGCACGCAGCTGGAGAAGGTGGTGCTGGTCAGCCTGCAGAGCGGGTACCTCTTCATCCAGACGGATAAGACCATCTACACGCCGGGCTCCACCGGTAGGGCCGGGCTGGCTGGGGGCCGGGCCGGCGGAGGGGGCCGGCAGCGTGCGACTGGGGCTCACCCGCTCTCCCTGCCTCTGCAGTCCTCTATCGGATCTTCACCGTGGACAACGACCTGCTGCCCGTGGGCCGGACCATCATTGTTACCGTCGAGGTACCAGCCTGGCGGGCCTGGACACATCAGGGCGGAGCGTGGGGACAGAGAGGCAGAGCAAGAGGCCTGGACGGGGCCCCCAGGGACGGGCAGATCCAGACATAAACGCAGAGAGAACCCGGCGGGGAGCAAACAGAGCCCAGAGGAGACCAGAGGAGACCACGGATTCTGGTTTCAGATAAATCCCTGGATCACTTCACCTCCCTGAGTCTCAGTTTCCCGTCTGGAGTTTGGGATGCTGTTAGATAAAAATAATTCTACGTAGTGTAGTGTATCCTGCGCTCACTAGAGGGCGCCAGTGAGCACATTAGCGAGGGAAAATCCCGCTTTCCTTCCCCCAGAAAGCCCTTTACAACCTGCTTCCGTGATCTCCCTGCCTCTTCTCCTCCCTTTCTCCGCCTTACTCACTCTGTTCCAGCCGTTCGGACCTCTTGCACACCTGTCATCCCAGCACTCTGGGAGGCTGAGGCAGGAGGAGCACATTATCCACAGAACTCCTTAGATTCCAACAGAAAGCCAGGTTTAATGAACTCATATGTGTATTCCATGAAACAACATGAACTTGCTGTACTTGGAGGTCAAAAATCAAATGTTGGCCATGACAGGGGCTTTGGTTTAATCAAATGCTCAGGGTCTCACAAAAAGTGGTTAGTAAATGCTACTAATTAGCAGTATTCAGAGAGACACGGATATTAATGAGTTCCTCTTATATGAACTACGTCCCAAGCAGTGAGGTAGGAGCCCTTAATGCCCCCTTTTTCTAGACATGAACATGGTGCACAGAGAGGTTAAGTAACTCGGCCAAGGTCACACTGCTTGTGGGTGGCACACTGTAGATCTGAACCGAGGCTGACTGACTCCAGTCCACACTCTTAGTGGTGGCCCCTGTGGATGTGATAGCAGGAAAGGGGGATCAATGAGGACACCAAGCAGAGCTGGAGGCTATGCCTGGTGTCCGCAGGGCCCCCTCACCCGCATCCCACGGTGTCTCCTTGCAGACGCCCGAAGGCATCCCCGTCAAGCGGGACACCCTGTCTTCCAACAACCAGAATGGCATCTTGCCCCTGTCTTGGAACATACCGGAGCTGGTCAAGTAGGTCAGGCTGTCCAGGAGGGGTCCAGGCTCTCCTGTCCCAAGTGGGGGCGGGGACGCGGGGTCCCGAGGCCTGGTCACACATTCGCCCGTCTCCCCCAGCATGGGGCAGTGGAAGATCCAGGCCTTCTACGAGCACTCGCCCAAGAAGGTCTTCTCGGCGGAGTTCGAGGTGAAGGAGTACGGTAAGCGCAGGGCCGGGCTGCGGGGCCCCTGCCGCCAGCCCAGAGCTCCGGCCTGCTGACACAGCTTCCCCCCCAGTGCTGCCCAGCTTTGAGGTCGTGGTGGAGCCTACAGAGAAGTTCTACTACATCGACAACCCGGACGGCCTGGAGGTCAACATCATGGCCCGGTGAGGGCCAGGTGACAAGTGGGGGTAGCGGGCCGGGGCCTCTGGGTCCTGGCCACAGCTAGCTGCAGGTGGGACGCTTCCTTCCAGGAGTGGGAGCCCTGAACCCCTGTCCTTTGCAGATTCCTATATGGGAAGAACGTGGATGGAACAGCCTTTGTCATCTTTGGGGTCCAGGACGGTGACCAGAGGATCTCCCTGGCGCAGTCCCTCACCCGAGTCGTGGTACCTGACAGAGCCCCTCCCCGCACTCCCTCGGGCCCCCCCACCGGCCCTGTCTGAGCCGCATTCCCTCCCCAGATTGAGGATGGCAGTGGGGAGGCGGTGCTGAGCAGGCAGGTGCTGCTGGATGGGGTGCAGCCCTCCAACGCCGGGGCCCTGGTGGGGAAGTCCCTGTACGTGTCTGTCACCGTCATCCTGCACTCAGGTGAGGCCCGGCCCGGCCTGTGGGTGGGGGTGGGGCAGGCTCAGCGCAGGGGGAGGAGGCCTGGCCCCTGGCCCCTCACGGTCCATCCCGGCAGGCAGCGACATGGTGGAGGCGGAGCGCAGCGGGATCCCCATCGTCACCTCCCCCTACCAGATCCACTTCACCAAGACGCCCAAGTACTTCAAGCCGGCCATGCCCTTCGACATCATGGTGAGGCCCACGGGGTCCCGCAGTCCCTGCCGCAGCCCCAGCTGGGTCTCTGAGTTGGCCTCACCCTCCCGCCCCTCCCTGACATTCGCAGGTGTTAGTGACGAACCCCGATGGCTCTCCGGCTCCCCATGTCCCTGTGGTAACCCAGGGCTCCAACGTGCAGTCTCTCACCCAAGCTGACGGTGTGGCCAAGCTGAGTGTCAACACGCCCAACAACCGGCAGCCCCTGAGTATCACGGTGCGTGTGCTCGGCTTCCGGAGCCCGCCACCAGGGCGTGGCGTGGTGGGGTGCTGACATGTGGGTGAAAGGGGCCCGCCATTCCCACGCGGGGTCCTGTCGCAGGCACCGAGTGGAATTCATCAGTATGGTGAGGGCTGCGCTGCCTTGGGGTCCTGCCTTCTGCACAGAGGGCCCACGCCTGGGCACACGGGGCTCTCCCACTTACACACCTGGGTCTTTGCACTTGCACCTCCGTGCACACCATCCTGCCACTTGCTCTCACAGTCAAGGTCTTCAAGGGGGCACCTGCGGTTGCAGATGGCTCCATCGTGATTCGGTGGCTCAGATCTGCCGTCTGCAGATGCGGCCAGGCTGCAGGTGAGCACCCTCACATGCAGGCTGCTGAGGCATGATGCACACGTCCTCCCCAGTGCCCTCCTGCTCCCGGGCTGGGCATCCTCCATGCCTTGCGGGAATCCTGTCTCATGGTGCTCAGCACGCGGATGAGTCTCCTGGGACTGCTGAGATGAAAACCACGGTTTAGTGACTAAGGGCAAAAGTAGTCACTTAGAGTTCTGGAGGTCAGAAGTCCTACGGTCCAGGTAGTGCTGGGTTCTTCCTTGGAGGCTCAGGTAGGGAGAGTCTGTGTTCTGCTTTTTTCAGCTTCTAGAGGGGCCTGCACCCCTTGGCTCATGGTCCCGTGCTCCATCTTCTGAGCTAGCAGTGCAGCACCAGCAAGTCAATCTCCCTCTCTCTTCTCCATTTTGTTTTTTTCTTCCTCTCTCCTCCTCCTCCTTCCCTCTTCTCTTCACTGTCCTCTCCTTTCCTTTCATTTTCCCTGTCCCTCTTCCTCTCCCTTTATACGCTCATGATACCATTGGACCCACCCAGATAATCCAGGATGACCTCTCCATCACAAGGGCCTTAAATTAATTCCACATGCAAAGCCCCCTCGCCCACTTGGCCGGGGCTCAGGGCTCTGCACGGCATTTTGGAGGACCAGCAGGCACTCCTTCTTCCCCACTCAGGTTCAGACAAAGAAGGAGGGCATCCTGGAGGCCCGGCAGGCCACCAACACCATGCAGGCCTTGCCCTACACCACCATGCACAACTCCAACAACTACCTGCACCTCTCCATGCCGCGCACCGAGCTCAGGCCCGGCGAGACCGTCAATGTCAACTTCCACCTGCGTACCGACGCTAACCAGGAAGCTAAGATCCGCTACTACACCTACCTGGTGGGTGGCCACCTCAACCCCTCCTCCCCGCTTCTCCAGCACCCCTGGGACCCCTGCCCAACCCTCCTCCCCCTTTCCTCACTGTGATCCTTATGCCAACCTGGCCCGCAGATCATGAACAAGGGGAAGCTGTTGAAGGCAGGTCGCCAGGCCCGAGAGCCCGGCCAGGCCCTGGTGGTGCTGCCCCTGGCCATCACTAAGGAGCTGATCCCTTCCTTCCGCCTGGTGGCTTATTACACGCTCATCGGTGCCAGTGGCCAGAGGGAGGTGGTGGCTGACTCCGTGTGGGTGGACGTCAAGGACTCCTGTGTGGGCACGGTGAGCACCTTGCGCCTCAAAGCCCTTCCACCTCTCCTTCCCTTGCACTTGGACCTCCTCCGTCCTCCGTCCTCCGTCCTCCGTCCTCGGGGGCCCTCGAGGGGCTGACTTCTCCCACTCTGTCCGACCTCCCGCAGCTGGTCGTCAAAGGTGGCTCGGGGAAGGACGGCAAGGACAAGCGGCAGCACCATTTACCCCGGCAGCAGATGACTCTCAGGATAGAGGGCAACCAGGGCGCCCGCGTGGGTCTGGTGGCCGTGGACAAGGGTGTGTTTGTGCTGAACAAGAAGAACAAACTGACGCAGAGTAAGGTACGCAGCTGTGTGGCTGAGGCGAGGTAAGAGGGCAGCAGGGCGGAGGGGTTCGGAGGCGCAGCCGTGGGGTTGGGAAGGGGCGCAGGGGCAGGGCACGGGGCGGAAGAGATGAGGACAGAGGACGAGGTGGGAATGTGGGTGGGTCGGGTTGGCCGGGACAGTTAGGAACGCAGCTCGGGAGGGCGGGGGTGTGGTGGGGGACAGAGCTGAGGACGAGGTTGAGAACCGTGATGCCTGGAGGCGGCTGGGGCGGGAACGGATACAGGAACGGAGGGAACTTGGGCGCAGAGCGCTTAGGTACGGGGTGGGGAGCGAGGTGGAGTTGGTTGTGAGGTCGGGGGACGAACGGGCGGAGGCGGGGCCGAATCGGGGTCGGGGTCGGGGTCGGGATCCGATCGGAATCGGAGGCACGCCCTGCCCGCCCTGCCGCTCCCCAACCCCACTCCCTGCCCGCCCGCAGATCTGGGACGTGGTGGAGAAGGCGGACATCGGCTGCACCCCGGGCAGCGGGAAGGACTACGCGGGCGTCTTCATGGACGCGGGGCTGTCCTTCAAGACCAGCAAGGGCCTGCAGACGGCCCAGCGGGAAGGTGAGGGGCAGGCGGCGGGGTGCACGAGGCTCCGGAGTCGGCGGCCCGGTCCGAGGGCCCCCGGCGCCAGCGCGGCCCGCACAGCCCCGCTCCGAGCCTTGTCTCGCCTGCGTCTCGCCTGTCCCCGGGGCGCCACGGCGACCCTGCGTCGCGGGGGCCGCGTCACCCACCGGGTCCCGCTCCCGCCCCCCAGATCCGGACTGCGCCAAGCCCGCCGCGCGCCGCCGCCGCTCGGTGCAGCTCATGGAGAAGAGGATGGACAAAGGTGCGCCCCTGGGAGCCGCGCCCCGCGCCGCCTGAGCCCTGGGAGCCGGCGGGGAGCCCACCCGCGCCCCTGCCGGCTCTGACGCGGGCTCTGGTCCCACAGCGGGTCAGTACCAGAACAAGCAGCTGCGCAAGTGCTGCGAGGACGGCATGCGCGAGAACCCCATGCGCTTTTCCTGCCAGCGCCGCGCGCGCTACGTGAGCCTGGGCGAGGCGTGCGTGAAGGCCTTCCTGGACTGCTGCACCTACATGAGCCGGCTGCGCGAGCAGCACCGGCGCGCCCAGAACCTGGGCCTGGCGCGGAGTGAGTCCCGGGGACGGACGGGGCGTGGCCGTCGGGGGGCGCGGCCGTCTGCGGGGGCGGAGCTACCAGGGAGGACCATTCAGGGCCAAGACTGGCCGGCGAGGGGCGGGCCCGGCCTAAGGGGCGGGGCCGGCCTAAGGGGCGGGGCCGGCCTAAGGGGCGGGGCCGGCCTAGGAGGGCGGGAGGCCCGTCTGATGGACGTGAATCCTCCCAGCCTTGCGTAGTCTCCTTGGCTATTTGGGGTTCAGGCAGAGAATGGCTCCAGTATTACCCCCAAATGCGCAGATTATCCCAGAACATGAGTGTGTTTAGGCATCTATGGAATTCCACCTACTTGTTAGTTACGGAGATTCAGAGCTAAACTAAAATTTGCCCATCGTGTTTGAGGAAAGCTAGCAAGGCTGAATTTTAGTCTGGTCCAAGTTTAGTCAGCCTCTGATGGCTAAGTTTATTTTTTATTTATTATTATTATTATTATTATTTTTTTTTTAAAGAAGGTCTCACTATGTAATTCAGGCTGGCCTTGAACTTGTGGTTATCCTCCTGCCTCAGCCTCTGGAGTGTTGAGGTGACAGGCATGTGCCACCATGCCCAGCATGGCCAAGTTTATTTACTTTCTGGCTTTTGTGGTGCTGGGCTACATCCCCAGTCTTTTTTTATTTTTTATTTTTTTTTGTGGGGAGCGTTTGTCTCTTTGAGACAGGGTCTCACTATGCTGTTCAGGCTGACCTTGAGCTCACTTTGTAGCCCTCAAACTCACAATGATCCTCCTACCTCAGCCTCCTGAGTGCTGGGATTACAGGCATGTGTCACCATGCTTTATTTTGTTTTGAAGCAAGGTCTTTGGTAAATTGCTCAGGCTGGGCTTGAACTTGTGATCCACCTACCTCAGTCTTCAGAGTAGTTGGGATTACAGGTGTGCATCATCACACCCTGTGGTTTTCAGCTATTTAATTCTTAATTTTTTTTTTTTGGATAGGCTCTTTCTATGTTGTCCAGGCTGACCACTGCATCCAGTTTCAAGTTGGTTTTTTTTTTGGTTTTTTTTTTGGTACTGGGACTTGAACTCAGGACCTTGAGCTTGCCAAGCAAGGCACTGTGCTGCTGAGCTATATCCCCAGCCCTTCAAGTTGGTTTTTAAAGACCACCATTTCTTTAGTGGCCTCCATAAAGTCTGGGAACACTTTCAGCCCCCGGGTGGCATCTAGGACCATCAGATAAAGCAAGCATAGGGTCCTTGATCTTTGCAGAAGCCCATGTGAATGCTTTCATTTCTTAAAACCCCCAGCTTGGATTATATTCACCTTTACACTAAAATATTTGTAAAATAGAATATTTAATTTTTTTTATGGAGGAAGGAGTCCCGAGAGACAAACGTGCCTGGGAGTCATGGAAAGCCATCTCACAGCCCTGGACATTTTCCCCAAATGCGAATTCTTCCTGGGCAGCTGGGGAACCCATCTTTTCTGAGCTTGGATCGAACTTCTTTCAGGTGACCTGGACGAGGATATTATGCCGGAGGAGGACATCATTTCCAGAAGCCAGTTTCCAGAGAGCTGGCTGTGGACCATAGAAGACCTGAAGGAGCCAGAGAGAAACGGGTAGAGCTGGGGTACCCCCCAGCCCACATCCTATCTCAGGCCAGCACCCGTCGCTACCCTTTCCTTTGCATGTGCCGGTCCCTTCCTGACTAACAATCACGGTGGAAAGCACAGCCCAGCCTAGAAGTCAGGAGCTGGGTTGCCTGCATGTGTGCACCCCAGACTTCTCCTTGCCAAACACCTAATGCTCCATCCTCTGCCCCCCGACCCAGAATCTCCACAAAGACCATGAACATCTTTCTGAAAGACAGCATCACTACTTGGGAGATTCTGGCTGTGAGCTTGTCAGATAAGAAAGGTAAGAAAAGACACTGAATCCCCTGGCATTTCCTCACCCATCCAAACTCAACAGGTTGGCTGTTTTGTGGCACCTTGCGCTTGGACCTTGGTTACTACAGAGGTATCAGACATTGCCCTATGAGGAGGGACTCCAAAATTGGCGCTATAAGTACAAACATAAATATAATATAAGTCCTCTTCCGAGGTCAGGGTTCCCCTTCAGAGTGGTCCATTTTTTACAACTGCCAAACCTACACTGATACATTATTACCCAGCGTTTGTAGTTTTATGTAGGGTTCTATTTTTTTTAACACTAGAACTTGAACCCAGGGCCTTCACACAGAACTGCATCCCCAGCCCTGTTTTTATTTTTTATTTTGAGACAGGGTTTTGCTAAGTCTCTAAGGTGTCCAAGTTGAGCTTGACCTTGCCATCCTCCTGCCTCAGCCTCTCTAAGTGCTGGGATGACAGGTGTGCACCACCATGCCCGACTAACCTATGGTTTCCTCTTGCTAAATATTCTATGGGACTGGACCAATGCATAATGACATGATCTGAATTTTTTGGCACGGCCCCAAAGTCTATAGCTGAGGACTAGCTCAGTCTCCTTCCCCTCCTGCCCGCCGTGACACAAACCATCCACAGCTGGCCAGGGCAAGACTGGCCGGTGTCCTGCGGAAGAGTTTGCAATAGCAAAAGCTTTTCAGGGCTGATGTCCACACGAGAGTGGGCAGGTTGATGAAGAAAAGAGGAAACGTGAGATTATGACACCGGCGGTCAGGTGGAGAAGCTCAGCAACATGGGGGACAAATGTGGTCCCTTCCTGTTACGCATCCCAGCCACCGGCAGCCTGGTGCGAGGCCCTGGCTCGCCCTGGTCACACGCGATGGCTCATGGCAGGGCCAGGCACAGGGGAAGGAGAGTGAGGTGGTGTCCTTGGGCATAAAATTGAAGGGCCTGTCCCAAACCTCAGTCACCATGATAAATGACATGTTAATGCGTTATATTAAAAACTCAGAGTGAATGCATAAAAAACTCCACGCTAAAGAAAATGTGCAAACTTCAAATAGAGACCAGGGCCGTGCCAAGCCATACTGGAGTCCACAGCAAGAGGAAAAACATGCATGTTTTATGTACTTTTTCCCAGAACATTTAAGCAACAATTAAAGAACATTAAGGAACATTAAAGAACATAAAGGAACAGTAAGGAGCAATTAAAATAAGTGTATTAAACTTACAATATTAAGTGAAAATATTTTATATGTACTCAAATCAAAATGTAGCATAATTTAATTTTATTATAGAAATATGAATATGTAATTATAATTTTAATATATAAGTATGTAAATATGATCAAATATATAATTATAAAGTCAATTATTATTACATTATTAGCATTGTTGCAAATATATAATATAAATTATAATATTAGATATATGCTATAAGTTGCATAACATTAGATATTATTTATGTATAACATAGTATATACTATTAGATAGAATAATTATTATTTATTATTAACTCTACAGTTATAACTTATAACACACTTATCTATTCCAAAATATCATGATAACATTCTGTAAAAAGTTTGTAAATCACTAGTACACCAATAATGTTATAATAACAAATCTTTTGATATTTAATAACTTATTAATATGTCAGAATTAGTAATGATCTCTCACTCCTGTTTGTACTGATCTGCAAAATCTAGTGTGCATTTTACGGTTGAGCACAGCTCCGCTGGGCTGGGGATACTCTGATCTGTATTTTAGTTTTACTGACACTGTACCACCTGCTTGTGAATTTTAGATTGAGTTCACACAGCCGTACAAGTTAACCTCTTAAGAATATGCTTACCGGGGGCTGGGGATTTAGCTCAGCGGCAAAAGCGCCTGCCTGGCAAGCGCAAGGT